ATCACAGTGCTAGTCAGATTTTTGAACTCTTACGCGGCCTTCAAATATCGCGTAAATTTGTGTCTAGGACCATTCAGCGGTACAATGAGACGTCCTCTGTTGATGACAGGCCAAGAAGCGGAAGACCTCGTCAAGTAAGGACTCCAGCAGCCATCAAAGCCGTAAAAGCCAGGATTCAAAGGAATCCACTCCGGAAGCAGAAGATCCTATCCAGGGAAATGAAGATTCCTGTCCGGACGATGTCGCGCATCATTAAACAAGACCTAGGGCTAGGGGCTTACCGGAGACGTACGGGCCAGCGACTTATGGCCACCTTGCGACACATCAGGGCGACAAGATCCAAGAAGCTCTTGGAGAGGTACGCAGCTGGGGGATTCCGAAAGATTTTGTTCACGGATGAGAAAATCTTCACCATAGAAGAAAAATTCAACCGACAAAATGACAAAGTGTATGCAAGGAGTTCACAGGAAGCTTCGGAGATCATTCCGAGAGTTGAGAGAGGCCACCACCCTGCGTCAGTCATGGTTTGGTGGGGGGTGTCCTACGAAGGGGTCACTCAGCTCCATTTCTGTAAACAGGGCGTGAAAACAAAAGCGGCAAACTATCAGAGCGACATACTGGATCCTATCGTCAAGCCTTTAAGTGGTACATTGTTTGCCAACCAACACTGGGTCTACCAACAGGATTCCGCCCCCGCTCACAAGGCTAAGAGTACGCAGCGCTGGCTGGAAAGCAATGTGCCAGAGTTCATTGCTGCGGAAGATTGGCCCTCAGGGAGTCCGGACCTCAATCCTTTAGACTACAAGTTGTGGGACCTGCTAGAGCAGTTGGCCTGCTCCAAAGCCCACCGTAATATCGAGTCCCTGAAAGCGGATTTGATCCGATCAGCGGCAGCTATTCCTTTGGAAGCTGTGCGTGCAGTGATAGATGAGTGGCCCGCGAGATTGAAGCAGTGTGTGAAGGCCAAGGGGGGACATTTTGGATAAAACTGTTTGATTATGAATTCTAAAAATGTTGTCGAATAAATAATATCTTTCATATAAATATATCTTATCTTGTTTCATTTTTATCATGAGATTATCATGGGACAGAACTTATGGCACGACTACGTAGTCCCGGTCTAAGTCCTAAACAATTCTTTAATGTCCCGAAAATTAAAAACAGACTGCGTGGTCAAAGGTTGCAGTCACCAGAAGAAGCAGTTGACGCATTCAAAAATGCCGTTTTGGATCTGCCAGCAAACGAGTGGAATAAGTGCTTCGAAAACTGTCTAGATCGCATGCAGATGTGTATCAATCTTCGTGGAGAATATTTCTAAAAACAATAAAGTCATTTAAAACTCCCTACAGTGTTGTTTTATTTCCATATGCAAAACTCAAAAGACATCCCTCGTACTACTATACCAAGGTTTTGAAAAACGATCTAGATGCAGCGGAGCTACGGCCAAACAACTGAAAATAACTTAATCACTCAAATTTCAGTTTTTGGCATTACAGAGACTCCTGCTTATTTTATTTGACGCCATTTTGAAGAATAAGATTCTCGGAATATAATAGTAGTCGTAAAAATTGGGTCTGTAACACAATGGCTTCAAAAGGCTCCAAAAGACGAATCCAATACTATGGATAAATGTTACAAGACTGCAGAATTGATGCCAAAGTAACATCCCAGTGAACATGACACCAAAATGACGTCATTACTCGGTAACTTTTGGTCGGAAACGACATTGACTAAAAAATGACGCCGTTTTTATGATGACAACAAGACGTCCTTTAAAAAGCTGTCATTAAGACTTTTTTAGGACAGTCAGTACTGTAAAATCAACACTCACCTGCAAAGAAAGTGTAGACTTTTGATGAACAGTAAGGTAAACTAGATCAAAATTCTAATAACTATCTACCTTATTGTTATTTATAAGAAAGTAACAGTCATTCTTCGATCAAAAATATCTTGTTACTATGACTTTTCTAATAATAATATTCCACGATTGTACTTGGCGGTGAGCTCGACCGATGTCCAAGCTGCAATGCTTTATAAATCTATGGGTTTGACTGGCATCACGATGGCTTCTTCGTGTTTAAGGTACATTGAGGTACAATTTAGTGGGGACAGAGTTAATAAGGCTTGGATAACATCCAGGAAACAAAAAGTGTTTTGGCTTCCTGTGAAAAAGCAAAGCGATTTTGATAAATTGCTACAAAGAAATTCTGCACTATCGCAGGACTGGAACGTGTTTGAGACCAAACGGTGCCTTTATTAATAATATCGATACACCTTTTATAAATGCTTCTGAAAAATTGCTTAGGTGCCCAACTAACAATTATCACTCCTATTAGAGTTGCAGGAATGATTATACAGTATTCCTTACGCAGCATTGTATACTGTAAGAACATTGGCAAAACCCTCTTGGAACAGCTATACAAGCGGAATGGGCACACCTAATAGTACAGTTCAGTCATTTAAGAGGTTGTATAAGGGCTGCAAGTAACAGTTATACAACAAAAGTGTAAGCCTCTTGCAGCCGCTATAGGACATTTGCGTCAGTGCAAGATTCAGTTTTTGTCAACTATACAACTGTTCTGTTACATGATTCTACTTTATCGCAACCAAACTATTTCTTATGTATTGTATAGACGAAGTGAAGAATATTTAACTAATACATTACAGTCATCTTGTTTACTTACAGATCGGCCATTGTGAATTTCATACACAGGTATATGATAAACTTTTACACTGTGATATAGGGCTATTGAATTACTTGTGCAGCAAATGTTATTGTGATTATCGTGCAAAGTAGTTAAGCAATTTCTACGGGCTTCGTATTTGATTCATATTTTGATAATCATCAAAAGTATGTCTAGATTTTTAAGATGGAAAACTGAACTTATCTGCGTTAAATCTTCCATAAATCCTATATCTAGACACAATTACAATAATGTTTATCACTTTATATTTGTACTTTCGAACTGAAACATAATTATTTAATATTAAACAGAGGAATAAATGTTTGCCCAATATGGCGGGTGGTTGTGTATAATCATGGCATCGTCCATGTTGTCTTTAGTTTATTAGAATATTTTGGTGTTGCCTGCAGGTGTTATACAACAATCAAATGTCTGAAATGAAATACCGACAGAGTCGAATGATTTACCCAGAATTTGTATCAGATTTTTATCTTCTGTTTGAACAGTTGATAAAACCTTTTGAACCAATATGCATGCGTTGTTTGTCTTAAAACATTGGTTGTGGCATTTTAACAAAATATGACGGCAGAAAGTTAGGTTATGGTAAGCGTTACAGTGGATGCCACAACAGAACCATTTTGACTAACGTGCAAATATGCCGTATAAAATAGTTGTATAAACGTTTATGCAACAGTTAAAAATTTGCCCTATAAGGTGTTGGATAACTATGCTATAAAAATATCTTAAACACCTCATTTTAGAGCAAATATGTTGCAGAAAGCAAATTTGCAATCCACACAACATTAAGCCATCATTTTGGTGTTCAGGCAACAACAATAGAGAGCTTTTATGGCTGAACGGTTCTTTTACCAAAAGCTTATACCACTACTTTGCTAGTTGGGTGATAACGACGTCACGGACCGAGAGGGTTCAAGAGTGGTAGGTAAGCAGAATATGAAATCAAATCCAAGCGAATAACCAAAATTTCTGTGTTATGTGCCGCGGTTATAATATGGTTCAAGATGACACACGGGTTGATGACGTCAGTTACACGAATCGCTTGAACGCGTTGATTTTAACCGCGGTTTTGTTGCAAGTTGTTTATTTTAGAAAAGCGCGTATATAATCTCTGATTATTTTTATTGTCACTTAATAATCGGTGCTTTTTCGTCTACAACTGTATATGGAAAGTTTAAATAAGAAACCTTTCATAATATTCATGGGAGAAATGTTTTTTTCAGATTTTTTTTTAATGATGGAACCATGGCTTTGTAGCTATGATAACTTTCAATTCTCTAAATTTTTCCGCATATCAAAGAAAACATTTATTGATTCAGCAGAAATGATGAAAAACGAAATTAGCAAAACCGTATACAGGTGGATATCATTTAGTGAGTTTATATGGCCATATTTTAATATTCTTGTGGTATATGGCTACACAGGATACGTTGTTAAGCATAGGAACTACATTTAAAGTGTCCCCAACAACCGTAATGAGTATAACTAATAAGGTGCTCCACTTTATGGGAAAACTGAAGTCATCCTGTATCATTTTTCTCAAAAATGAAGCTGAAGTACAATAACAATATCCAATACCCGGCAAAATTCTAACTTGTCACATTTCAAATAATAACCAGAAATATAAAACTACTCTTGAGTTGGGTAAATACCACAGTTTTGCGGTGATAACTGTGACATATAACAGCTGATTCGTGACGTCACGGATCTTATAACCAAACTGATAACTACACTCGCTTGAACGGATTGGTAAATACCAACCCAAAATGGTAAATACCATTTCCATTTGGTTATCCGCTTGAATTTGATTTGAGTCTCGGCGTCTGTCTACAACTCCTGAACTTGCTGCTTGTGGGGCGTCGTTGTCACATCCTAAATTTTTCAGGAGCATTTGGATACACCGCGCGATTATTTTTGCGAGCGAAAGTGCGTCATGTCAACATCATACAGTCGTCATATCGAATTTGTATTTGGTTTTTTATACGACATACTATGACGTCATATAATGACGTCAATTGGGTGTCACATTAGCCCATCATAATGACGTCATCTCTGCATAACTTTTTTGGTCGGCGTCCGTCAGTAGTTTGTATTTTCACTGGGTAGTTGCTGATTATTCAGATGTGTGAGAAAACACATCGTAAATAATAACTAACGGTTGAACTATTTATCAAGGAGCTTAGTGCCTTATGACCGTTGACCCATATCTAATATATTCAATCTAATCTGTTCAAATATATTTGTTGCCTTCTCCAATTTGATACGCGCCCAGTTTAAAATTAATATAATTTATTCCAGGCGTATTTGTCCTATTCTGCACAACGGCTACGTTATGGCTTGTGTTCGTCCCGAAAATGCTTGAGCTTAGGAGAAACCCTGGCGGCTCCATCGACAAGCGATTCAGACCAACTTTGAGACCGATGTCAAAAACCAGAAGAGACTCCAGCGTCTCCGAGTTGGAAACCAAATTGAAGGACGTCAAGAGTTTGAACTCGAAATATAGGAAAACTCTACTGGAAAAGGAGTCGGAACTCCAGGTAATTTTTTTTCTACGTCTGAAGCTTTTTTTTACTTCAAAAAATTCGAAAATGAGATATTGTGTTTTTTGGGTCTTATATGTCATGAGCATCACGAAAAAACATATCATTGTCGGTCTGATTTTGATGAAATTTTCACACAACGTGGATACTATGCCAAGGACGAAAAAGTACTGTAGTTTTTGGAAATATGTCCAATGGCGGGGGAGAAAAAAGCCAAAAACGAAAAAATAGAAATCGCTTAAACTTCGGTTAATTGGACGTTTCAGAGATCCTGATCGTTAAAATATTAATGTAGTGGCTGAAATCCGGGAGTTGGGGATTATTGGAGGTGGGGTAGGGTATATGAAATTTTTTTGATCTTAGTATATTGTACGCTCCAACCTCCGGTAATTCTATGCACCTATTAGCCATATTTCCACATCGTACATTTGCTTTGATAGATACATGTTTTCGATCGTGTACTCTTGCTATCTAGGCTCACCGCCCGGCGAACCGATCCGGCTGACTAACCTATCTGTACTGCAGCGCGTAAACATATACACGGACCACGCAAGAAATGAACGATAAATCGTTTCAGTGGCGCCGCGCTGGGCGCTGTCGTGCGGAAGAGACAACATTGCCAGATGGACAGTAAATACCGAAATAAATACCGTAAATCCTTGACTGTTACTAATTCTGTCAAGAATAAAAAAGCAATGTACCTTTTGAAAATCGATGCAGTGGCGGAGGAGATAATAAAATCGCTATAACTTCGTTTCTTGGCATTTTAGATGATCCTACTGATTTTTAACAATTTTGAGTGATACAAAATTGAGGGCTTGGGGCTGTGAGGGGTAGGAGAGAATATCTAAATTTGTTAGAGACAGTAAGTTTACACACTTGTAACCTTGGTAATTATACACACCTATTAGATATATATATATATATATATATATATATATATATATATATATATATATTTCACCTAACTGGTCATTGTCGTCATATATATATATATATATATATTGAGACGTGGTCATTGTCGTCTAGGCCAGTTAGGTGAAAAATTAAAGCTTCCGCCTTTTGTTGGGTACTTCGACAAAAATTCAAGCAAAGAGGACTCTTTATACTTTTTTATTCTCTCTAGCTTTCCATTGTACCATCTATCCAGCTTTTACCATGTTACTGGGTGTTTCCCTCATCCTGAACGTAAACAACAATTAGCAACATCCTCACATACTACTGTTAAGTCAATTTAAATTCATTATACACTATTGTTACTACTGTTATCAATGTAATTGCAGCTCCTGATGATGATGGCAAAGTCCATTGAAAGCTAGAGAGAATAAAAAAGTATAAAGAGTCCTCTTTGCTTGAATTTTTGTCGAAGTACCCAACAAAAGGCGGAAGCTTTAATTTTTCACCTATATATATATATATATATATATATATACAGGGTGTCCCAGAAGTCGACGTCAAGCCGAAACCGGGTAATAGGCAAAGTCATAACAGCTATCAGAAAAATATTTAAAAAAATTTATGTGTTTTAAAAATTATAGGTCTTTGGATTTTATTTTTAAAATGTAATGATGAATAATGCATCTTCAAACTGGTGTCTCCACCTTACTGCCAACTTTTCTCGTTCAGGAAAAATTGACACTTATTTCCCAACCAAGTATTCCAAAGTAAAACTTTGCTCAACTTTAACTGGCTGTACTGGAAAAAATGTACTACGAGAGTTTGGCAAGTAACCTTAAAAGTTGGGGCATTTAATAAGGATTCCAAAATGGTATAACACTTAGAAGATTACTCGTTAACTTATGCACAGTTTTTATTTGAGGAAAAACTGATGAAAATTTTTCAAAATTTCCTAATTAAACAGCGATTATGAAAACGCACAAGGACCCTTAAGGATAACTGTTTGCACAACAGTGGGCGTCAAAATGCTGCTGATGATGATTTACCTTTACAGCAAATGCTCAAACTGTTTTCCTTCAGCCGCAATACACGCTCGACATCTTCTTAAAAAAGATCGGGTTATTAAACGAGCGAATCCACGGTTATTAACAAACTCAGCTGCTTCAAATAGTCTTTGCCGTAGCTCAGCTACATTTTGAATCGGCTTGAAATATACTTTTTCTTTTACAGTTCCCCATTAAAAAAAATCTAACGGATTCAAATCTGGTGACCGGGCTGGCCACGGTATTGTACCAGATCGCCCTATCCATCTGCCTGGAAAGTTTTGATCGAGATACTCTCTCACTGAGAGTGCATAGTGCGCTGGGCAGCCATCATGCTGAAACCACATGTCCCTGTAAATACTCAGTGGCACGTCCTCCAATAAATTTTCTAAATGATTTTGCAAAAAACCTAAATAAACCTCAGCAGTCAAAGTCTCTGGGAACTCAAACGGACCGATTATTTTACCATTTAAAATTCCTGTCCAATGGTTTATCTTGAAGCAATATTGAGATTTATCTTCTTTCATCAAATGTGGGTTTGCTACGTGCCACTCGTGTAAGTTATGCAGGTTCATGTACCCATCTTTCTTAAATGTGGTCTCATCTGACCATAAATTTTTTTCAAAGAACCGTGGATCTTCCCTGTGTCTTTCTAACAAAAAGCAACTCGGGGCTCATAATCCCGGGGCAGAAGAGCTTGAACACGCTGTAGGTGGTATGGATGGACCACGTTTTTTGCAAGATTCTATGGGCTGTACTTTTGGGCACACCTGTTTTTAGTTCTATTGCACGCACTGAAGTACTCGGGTCTTCTTCGACAGCTCCTAGCACCACGTCTTCATAAGGAAGGAAAGATCTTCCCTCACCGTGTGGTGGTTTGTTAGTTGGCCCTCTGAGAACAGTAAGCGGTGCACATTTGTGAACACTCGATGATCTGGATGACGAGCAGCATTCGGGTACCTGTCACAGTAAAGTCTCGCTGCAGCACTAGCGTTGCATCTGCATTCCCCATAAATGAGGTGCATGTTAGCATATTCTTGTACGGTGTACACGGATATAGCGGCACTGCACAATCACACTATCAAAGATAGTCTAAGGAAAGCAAATGTTGTTTTGAAGAGCAATTAAACAGTCCAAATCCAAATCACAAGCGATCAACAGTCCAGTTCACGAATCCAAAATTAGTAACAGTACGAAATCATCAAGCACGAACATGTAAAGATGCGCAGTAAACGAAGAAGTACTGATCGGTATCAAAGTGTGCAATAGCAAGTACGTGATGTGCTTCATCCATACCACATACAGCGTGTTCAACCTCTCCTGCCCCGGGATTATGAGCCCCGAGTTGCTTTTTGTCGCACAATGTTAGAAAGACACAGGAAAGATCCACAGTTCTTTGAAAAAATGTTATGGTCGGATGAGACCACATTTAAGAAAGACGGGTACATGAACATGCATAACTTACACGAGTGGCACGTAGCAAACCCACATTTGATGAGAGAAGATAAATCTCAATATCGCTTCAAGATAAACCATTGGACAGCAATTTTAAATGGTAAAATAATCGGTCCGTTTGAGTTCCCAGAGACTTTGACTGCTGAAGTTTATTTGGATTTTTTGAAAAATCATGTACAAAATTTATTGGTGGACGTGCCACTGAGTATTTACAGGGACATGTGGTTTCAGCATGATGGCTGCCCAGCGCTCTATGCACTCTCAGTGAGAGAGTATCTCGATTAAAACTTTCCAGGCAGATGGATAAGGCGGTCTGGTACAATACCGTGGCCAGCCCGAGCACCTGATTTGAATCCCTTAGATTTTTTTACTGGGGAACTGTAAAAGGAAAAGTGTATTTCAAGCTGATTCAAAATGTAGCTGAGCTGGCTGAATGTCGAGCGTGTATTGCGGCTGAAGGAAAACAGTTTGAGCATTTGCTGTAAAGGTAAATCATCATCAGCAGCATTTTGACGCCCACTGTTGTGCAAACAGTTATCCTTAAGGGTCCTTGTGCGTTTTCATAATCGCTGTTTAATTAGGAAATTTTGAAAAATTTTCATCAGTTTTTTTTCAAATAAAATTGTGCATAAGTTAACGAGTAATCTTCTAAGTGTTATACCATTTTGGAATCGTTATTAAATGCACCAACTTTTAAGGTTACTTGCCAAACTCTCGTAGTACATTTTTTTCCAGTACAGCCAGTTAAAGTTGAGCAAAGTTTTACTTTGGAATACTTGGTTGGGAAATAAGTGGCAATTTTTCCTGAACGAGAAAAGTTGGCAGTAAGGTTGAAACACCAGTTTGAAGATGCATTATTCATCATTACATTGTAAAAATAACATCCAAAAAAAGTTAATATTTGTAGTAACAGGAGTTGGCAGACTGCCTTAGGGTGTGAAATTTCTATATCTTTTCAAAGACCTATAATTTTCAAAACACATACATAAAATTTATTTACATATTTTTCTGATAGCTGTTATGACTTTGCCTATCACCCGGTTTCGGCTTGACGTCGACTTCTGGGACACCCTGTATATATATATATATATACAGGGTGACTTCGAAGTTGAGTCATTTATTTTAACAGTGACTAGATCTGATCAAAAGAAATGTTTTTTCCTTTAACATTTTTGTGGTAAAATTAAAGTAACAAAGTTATAGCCCTTTAGAAGTTTGAGTACCGCCCTGTCTCAATAATAATATTATGTGCTCGTGTTTGGCAACAACGGATATAATCCGCCTTATCGGTTCATCCCATCGGAAACAAAAAAGCGAAAGAATTTGAAACGCTGATCACGATGTTTTTATTCAGTCGATGTGTCAGTCGGTAACGCGTGAGTGAATAGTGGTGTTTGCTGCGTGGCTCAAACGAAATAAAAAATGGCACATGTTTATGCGGATCGGTTTCCCAGTCGAGTGCAACCAATCCCTCGTGCCTTTGTTAATGTAGTACAACGGGCTCGTGAATCAGGTGACTTAAGACCTCACAGGAGAGGGCATGCCGGTGCTCCAAGACCTCACGATCAAATACAGGTCCGCACTGAAATACTTGTTGGGAGGATACTTTATAAAACAAGGTAAATTTTTTTTTATTTTTACACACATATTTTGGTTTATCTTCCTTCTACAATCATTATCTGAAAATTAATCACTCAACTTCAAAGTATATGTATACATTTCCTTGGAGATGGCTCCTTTATAACTAAATGGACGAATGGAGAGAGAATATCTTGTCACGAAAGATGCTGGGTCTGCTTCTCGACCGCAGCATTTTTCTCAGGGAGCCGATTAGACATTGACAAGAGAAAACTTTTTGAATAGTATGATTATGTATCAGCCCTAAAAGCACTAAAATTCTCCAAACAATTTGATGGCAAATATTCAAATGTCTAGCGATCTACCTCGCACTCGTCTCAGGATGTTCTTCGACTTAGTGCAGCACTGCTTCCTCAATCTCAGGTGTTCTCACACTACCTTCAGATGTTTCTTTTCGGACAGAACCAGTTTCAACAAAACGAGATGAATATTAGAAAAGGTTCGACTATCTGGCAAAGCACGATCGGGATATCTCTGGTGATAAATCCGTCTGGCTTGCTCACCATTACCGTCGGCAAGGCCATATGCGTAATGCATTTCCGCCATTTCCGCATTTGAATAATTCACCATTATTAACAAGATCGTAAAAACTAAATAATGAAAAAGATGTCACAGCGAACAGATTTGAATAACAGAGACTTGTCAGATGTCAAAAGCCAGAGCAACTAGATATTTATTGCTAAATTGCGTTCTTCAATTATTACATTAATTTTCTCGGACAATAGAACGGTTTTTATTTTTTTACTCAAAAATGGCGCATCGAAGGAAAACAATTCAAGAGAGATCATTTGTTTTAAATTGAACGAAAAATTAAAAAATAATTTTTATTTGGCAAAAAACTATTGGAGTGCCATTTTTTTCTTAAAAAATATCGAAGTCAATACCCGTACGCACGCCACTGTTAAAGCTAAAAATTATTTTTGCATTGAAAAATATGCAACTTCATCAACTTTCACTACCTACTAAATATCAGTGAAATATCTGAAGCGGTTCTGAAAATATTAATTAATTTCCATTTTTTTCCTAAAACTTCAACACCTCGAGTTTTTGTAAGGAAACATTTTTGGACCATAGTTTATAAAGCAAACTAACATTAATTTTTCATGTAGATTCACATCCTTAAATATTCGCATATCATTAAGGAACACCTTGTATATGCTACAAAAAATTATGCAAGTCTTAGGAGGCAACCAGATTCTCGGGGAAGTAACGCTCCAAGTGGAGACTAATTGCATAGGACTATTTAACTGAATTCGTTTGATAGACGCGTTCGTGGTTAACTTCTTTCTAACAGAGGGTAACTTTTATGTCCAAAATAAATTATGAACTGCTTAGAACGTTGAGATACAGAGTGAACCTACTTGACACCGTTCTTACGTGAACCTGCTAGATATTTTTCTATGTCAACGATATATTATTTGATTATTTGACAGATGTTGATCAGACGCCTCGGAAACGAGGCCAAGGAGTTGCTGGAATCTCGAGAGTCCATGAGCGATACCAACAGATTGTCGGTACCACTAATCCGCAAAGAACAACCAAGTGCGACCGAAACCAGCGACATAACATCTTTATGCAGTCTCAGCTCGCAGGACTATGCTTCCCTACAGCATACAGATAGCCAAAAGTAGGTTGAACCCAACTTAAGCTAGTACTTTTGTGGTTTCACAGTTCAGGTGTCTGAATTCTATATAAAAGGTGGCGTCATTTTTATATTTATTTTCTGTCAAGCGCTTGCAAAAAATTCAATATACATGTTGCAGATTAATCTGTGACTTGAAAAAATATAACCACCTCTATCATAAAATTGGAATGGTATATATTTGAATTTAATTTTTTGTGTTATATTCATAAGGTTCTACTTATCTCAATCCCCCCATTTTTAAAAGATAAGTTAGTCTCCTGGTTCTATGCACTCACGAGATATACGATTTATTAATATAAAATCAATTCCTCCTCACATAACTTTTAACACGCTTTTATAAGCTTGGTCCGTATGTATGTATACAGGGTGGCGCATCGAAAACGAAACAGACGCATTTACTGGCAGCTCAGTTTTTTTTGGAAAAACGCTCAGGCCCGTCGATTTGTTTTCGAGGGGGACCCAAGTTTGGCGAAAAAATCACGTTGACACGTGCAGCCCTCTGGGCGGGGGTGACACCAACCCTAAAATCTTAAATGGAGGTCGAGTGATACCTTATTTTAAAGGTCTTTCAATTCCTTTTGTAAAGATGTAAAATACATGAGCTTCAGTTCAGTAGTTTTGAAGATTTATTGCTTTAAAGCTTAAATAAAACTAATACATCATCATTAGGGGAAATCAATACATTTGGCAGCAAGGTAATTTAAAAATGAAGAATGAACTGACCCGTTAGGCAAGTAAATGTTGAAAATGGCCACCATGATTCTCCATGCAATAATAAAGATTTTGCTCAAAACGTTGCCGCACATTTTGCAATATTTGAGGAGTAATTTGAAGGCACTCATTCACAATTCTTTGTCGCAGGTCTTCTAATGATGTTAAATAAAATATCATTTATTTATTATTATTATTATTCAATTGGTTGGTTCGGTTTCTGGTCTGGTAAAGTGACTTTACTTTGTCGTTCTGTTTTTTAGAACAGTCATATGAAAATCAGTGTCAATTTAAAGTATGCAATGAACCATAGATAGTTCAATGATCAGTGAGACCAGTGAGCTCCTTCTATTCTCATAAAATCCCCTAATGTATGTTTTACGTTCACCTTTTTATAGGATATCAAATCGCCTACTGACTGAATTTAGGTACATACTTAAATAGCATAAGTTAAAAGGTAATTAATGATTTTTACTGATCAATGCTCTATACTTACAGTGTTATGGGTAATCATACTCATCATAAGGCTAAGTACGTGAATGAGTAAATTCTTTTTGAATATCTATTGTTGACGTTGAACACAGGTTCAAGAACAAGTAGATGTTAACGCACATGAAGATTCCAATACAGGAGCCAGTTATTTCCATTTGTATATATTTTATTTATTTTCGTTATTTATTTAACAACACAGAATTCCTAAATACGTTAAATAGTTTTTTTGGATTTGGAACCTTCATGGATTCTTGAAGCTGTTACTATCTAGCTCTATGGCTGTTATGGGCATGATGCATCGTATAGTGCCATTAGTCGCAATTCATAATGTATAGGGTGATTCAGAATTTAAAATTATACTTATAATAATATTGGCATGATATAAAAAACCTAAACGAAATTAGGTAATCATGTACGATTTTGAAATACCCTATAAGTGCAGTACAGGGCCGCATATATTTAGATGCCATAGATACTTGGAATACATAATTTGCTGCAATATGAATAGTATTTACAAGGTTTCAGAATATATGGGCCTTTTCTCAGTTTAATGTGGTTCTTTGTGCACGTGCCATACGTAACAAAAAAGAATACATTTTGTGATACTTTGATTCAGCTCTCATTAAAAACAAAAATCTCACTCAAAAGTGATCAAAAAGAGATTTTCCAAATGTGTTACTTAGGGGCCTGAATCTCTGTAGAGGATACCCTTATGGCATTTTTAGGTAACTCTTTTTTGTGTTCTATTCAACTCGTGGACATAGTCCAGATATTCTGACATCTTGTATACAGAGTGTCCCAGAAGTGGGCATCAAGCCGGAAACTGGGGATAGGCCAAGCCATAATAAAGAAAAATATAAAGAAATCTAAGTCGTGAACTTTTCAAAGTATAGGCTTTGAAAAAAGTCTGAAGCAGCTGAATTTGTTGATAACAGAAGATTCGCAAATTGAAATTTGTACTAATGGAAACTAAAATAACGTCACAGGTTGTAGATTTTCCTTTTTTGATGAAAGACATTTAATTTGAAAGGTACACGATTTAATTTTTTTTTTTGTATTTTTCTTCCGTTTCCGAGTTGACGTCGACTTCTGGGATACCCTGTATAGAGTGTGGTAAGAACATCCTAAGTTAAACCGCTGTTAATTCGAGAATTTCTGTAGAAGGAAAAAGCAACAGGAAACGGAATCCCAAAAACTAGAAAAATCGCCAAACCCTCCAAAACAGGAACACGAACCAGATCAGAAACAACTGAATGGATCTGTCAAGCTAACGCCTACTTTGGGCGTGGACAAGAACTACAACAGTGTAAAAGATACGTTGAACGCCGAGTATGAAAAGCCTCCGGAGCAAATTGACAGCAAGAAAGAAGAAGTGAAGAAAGTCAAAACACCGACACATGAAAGAAGGTGCGTTTTTTCTTTTCTTTTTTGGATAGATCTTTGTTTCATTGACGCGTGGAGATGGAGAAATACATCCTTATAAAGAGCCTAAACCATCGTATACTCTGAAAATGATTTTTTGATTTATTTGCAGGCCTTCAAGAACTCTTGAATCAGACCTAACATCTAAACGTAAGCAAAGCCTAAAACCCGAATTTCTGCCTGAAATAGAAGAAACAACGACCCACAAACCAGGCAACAGAACGCCGGCAAAGAAAAAAGCCGAATATGGAACCCACGTAGTAGCTAAAAGTGAACTGTGGGACACAGGAAACCAGCACAGGTGTACGAAAAGTCATCAAAAACCTGGGAGGGTTAGCATATCCCAAGATGAAGGTAATGCTGCAAAACTATGAGAATTTAGTATACAGGGTGTCCGCAAAGTTGGGGTTTTCCTTTAAACGACATGTAGATCTTGAAAAAATAAGCGGATTTTTCTAGTAGCATATACACCAATGTCTTAAGAGAACCGAGATATTGGGCTCCGCAAACTAAATCAAACCTGAAGCAAACCGAAGCCGGTTCTGTCCTTTCCCTCGATCACGACCACAGCGCCAGCGACAGAGTACAGTTATACGACGTACGACTGCGATGTAAATACGGATTTTACGACAGAGTCGTACTAATAATTTCAATATAACTGAACAGTGAGCACTTTTTCATTTACTTTTTTTTGCTTGTTCGCTCACGTTTCTCCACACATTAGCTTTGTTATATCAAGCGTAGTTATGTATGAAAAGGAAAACCCCAACTTTGCGGACACCCTTTGGTCGCCCCAGCATTCCATCTCAAGGTTTTTCTATCCTTCGTCTTATGACCTCAAGATGACGATCGATACCAATAACCATGAAACCTTCACCTACTTGAGATGGAATGGATTTATGGGGTCTTACAGCGGCATCCCTATGATCTAAATTGGACCATGTGCTGTTTGTTTTCAGGCGTAGATCGTATAAACCATGAAAAAAAATCCATCAATCCAATTATATGTGAAATTGTCATTTGCGCCTACAGAAATTTCTCTCAGGGTAAGGAGATAGGTCATTTTTTTTGTTATACGAGTATATTGGCGTAGCTAACTTTTTTATCAGAAGGGCTAACTTGTGCCAGACCCCAAACATAATCCTTTGCGAACTGATGACAATGACAGCGTGACATGGGAAGTACAGAGTCGTGAATCCAGGGGGGCGCAACAATGCCATTGCCACCCAAGGCCCCAGATTTGCAGGAAAACATGAGGAAACACGAGAGACCATTTTTTCTTTTGTTGAAAGATTAACGTAAAATAAATGTGCAGTCTGTTATTACATTTCTGTTAATTATTTCCCGTCTTAATTACTTTATAATAAACCCAAACCACAGACACTAATGAAAGTAGGCAACCCACACTACTTGCCCCCCACTTCCCCATGACGTGATGGCACGGGTATCACGTATCTTCAAAAGTGACATTATGCCTATTTTTTGTGACATTAACTCGGCACTTAGTTGTACGTGTTGCCTAAATGTCATGAGGCTTGTTATCAATCTTTGGCTCTGATGTGCTGTAAAATCTGCTTCTGAGATGGCATTACTGGAGGTCTAAGCTGTAAGTTGTATGTGTTGATGATAATTACATTGGGTTCTTGCCTCAAATACACTTAATTGAGATTCAAAGCTAGAAATTAGTTGAGCATCCACTTTTTCTTATCCATTCTGGAAATTACATTTACGAATTTGCTGAATTTCAAAAATAAGAGAGATAAGAAATAATTATATTCACTGTACACTGTCGAATTACAAGCCATATACATGCTAACAGTAATTACGCACAATGCGTGCGCGGTGATGGTTTGCGGTAATTCTCCTCAGTTCTTCGTAATTTATAACTTTGAACATAACCTCTCTTCAGAAAGCACAACATAAAAATAATCCATCGGGCACAGCCAATAGATATACTTCATTGGCAGCATATTCACACAGCAAATATCACTGATTTTATACACATGCAGACCAATACACATAATCATCCAGATGCGATCTTGCTATTCAACCAACTTTCTTCTTAGAGATAAAAACTACAGATACGTATCACTCAACCTCACAGAACTATGCAACCAATAATGCGTAGTTTAGTTGAGTGATTCCTCCATAGATGGACGTTCACAACGATCCTAGTGAACAAACGTGGAATGACCGTTTGCGCCCTAAAAACCACCTGGTGTACAAGTTGACATCTTATAGGGTTTTTTTGACGTTTTATAGGTTTTTTACATGATACCCGGGAGTCAAATCACATGACGCCATTTTTATTTGATTTTATAGATGACAGCTACATGCACCGCACAGTATCTGAGCGGAATCGTCATTCTTCACAAAAAGAAAAACGAGAGAAATCACCTGTATCTAGAAATAAGCAGCAGGAGATGCCTAAGAATATCTGCCAGCAGCAGTGTAATAAATTAGGGTAAGTTAACTGAATTGAAATCAAAATGAAGATAAGCAAAATATTTTAGGAAGCACAATAGGCAGAGGTACAGTGCATCAGTCTAAAACAAACTCAAAAGGAAATCGGTACTCAGGGGAGTTTTTCAACCCAGAAAAACAAGATGAAATAACGGAAATTTCAATGTTGCCAAAGTTCCTAAATACATTTCAAATTGCCATTAACAAAATCCCAAAGCATTTACGATGCCTTTTTGTTGTAAACTTTTCTCGCCTACACGCAATTAAACAACAAAGGTTCACAATCAATACCTCCTAAAATTCTATGAGAGCTTGCTAAGGGGTGTTTTTCAAATTATTTTTAGAATTCGAAAATGGCATATTACAGAAAACGATATTTTTGCAATTAGCATATCAAAAATACTCAAATTCAATTCTTGCTACTCCGGCAGTAAAATGGCTGTTGGGCTGCGTTCATTGTCATAGAATTCAGAAACAACTGAAACATATCTGAAAAGGTGCTAACGAGTATTTACAAATGTTTAGGATCATATTTAGGATTTGAATACATACTGGGTATTTGAATATTGAGATTTAGAAACGGTATCCAGAATATCGAGTACTGACCAAAGAGTATTCAGTCAAATACCAAACACACAAATGTATTCCAATACCAGCCAAATGTATCCAGAATAATCAAAACACCGAGTATTCGAATACTACTCAATTCTAGTACTTAACAAATTATATTTACGTTTTATCCAATTTTAACAAGTTTCTATGCAACATTATACATTAAAACCGAAGTTTCTACCTATAAGAAGCGGATCCGGAGGCACAAAGGTTTGTCATTTCTGGCTAATCCAACATGGCTTACCTTTGTGTTAAAAGGCGGCTTCTATCACAAACTAACCTTCGGTTGCCCAACTCCCTAATTGACGTGGATTGCTACAATTCCATTCGTTTTTTAGGTATTTCCAGAGTACACCAAATGTAGCGGCCGCACATAGACAACCGAATTCAACCCCGAAAAGGGATAAAAGTATGTACAACGCTACATCTGAAAGTGAGCTGTTAGATAGAGAAATCCTACCGATCTTCCAAAAACTGCTCACAGAACGAAATAAAAGTCAACATAACATAGACTATTCGTTCGGTAGGTCGTGTCCGAACATTTCCATAAAATGCGATATAGTAGAATATTTATAAGGGAGGCTTTACGCTACGCGATTTTTTGTATAGCGATATATTGCGCACAGCTATCGAATTGGCCAAAAAAGGGAAGTAAATTTTTCAATCAACTTCCACGCACACCATTTTTGAATTTATTTTCAGTTCAATACAAATGTCTGGAATTCGAGATAAATGTTCAATGAAGATCCATAAATGTTGAAGAAGTATTTGTTAAATACACCTCCTTGGCAGTATTATACACAAAAGAGACGTTAAATTTCTATACATTTTTTCATGTGTTTGCACAACGCCACAAACACCAAACTATACAAATAATCGCAAAACTGTAAAGCAGCCTTAATAGACACACGTACTGAATCATCCTATTGTATTAGCAAAAATTATATTTAGGACAAAAAATAGCTGAGAAAAATAATTAGCAGATCAAGTCTGCATGCTATTTTAAATGTTCTAAATATATTCAAAACGTTTGAAAATGTTTGTTGTAGATTTATTCAAGAAGTAATATCGATAATACAATGATACTAGCGATGTTTCAATTTCAAACGAAAAACTGACTTTATTTATTCTAAATTAAGACATTTCTTATACTTCGTAGCACCTATCGCTCAAATATTTTCTAATCCAGCTTTAACAACAATCCATTTCATCATTTTTTATCATAATCAATGAAATCGCATGAAGGCCTTCATCCTTATTTTGTATATTGACTTCCTAGTAATACAAAACAGCGAAGTTGAACAAAAGACTTTCGTGTCAATTATAACTAAATAGTATTTGGATTTATTATCGGTATTAACAACCATTTATAACCACCATTTGGTTTTGTGATGAATAGTTTGACCCAACGTGTGGTAAGGTATCCTACCCAATGCCTTCTAACATCTTTTTATACAAACAAAAAATAATATTCATACATAGATATATAGAACATATTTTAGGTCATTTGAATTGACTCATGTCAGACAGGGTGGACCCAGCCTTCAGTGTTCGAGCGAGCAATTGTATTGTTCTGATAAAAAATATATTGACATTGGTCTGGAAAAGGTTATGAAACACACCTTAAAAGAAACCGACTTTTTACGATCAGAAATATACGAGTACTGAACTAGTTCAGTGATTTGGTAATATTTTTGGTTAATAGTTCTTTATACACACATTAATCATTTGCGGGGTTCACAGTATTTTCAACAATTTCATTATGATATGAACATTTCAAAATAAATTCTGTTTGGACCTTCTCCATACATATGTTAATATGTCTTTTTGAAATAACCTGATGGTTGAGTCCCACAAACATACGAACGTACTTAAAAACCACCCTGCATAATTTCTAAACATGGGCAAAAAGTAAAATTATGAATATACAGAATTACGTACATCAAACAAAAAATGATGATAAAATGGCAAGCATTGAAAAAATAGCGACTCAACCTCTGAGTTCAAAATACCATTTCAGAATAAAAAAATGTCGTTGAATACAAACCAGTATGTTCGAAATAGTTTTACCATTTGTCCTTGTCTTTGATAGTTCATTCTGTTAGCCAAGTTTTAAATTTGTCATATAGTTTCTAATTCTGTTGATATTATTGAAATTATTTCAGTGTTGATCCTTGAATGTATATTAAATAATAGCAAATATACTTACGAATTTTAGATTTAAAGGTTTAAAGGATATGTTGAAATAGCTCTTTGTTTTATTTGCCATACCTTATTGATAAATCCCAAAAAAAGCGTACTATGTGGTTTTTAAGAAATGTTAAATTTGAATAGTTTTAAGGGCCACCAAAAAAAAATGGTTAACTAGGCCTTACAGTAATATCAGAAATATGAAGACACTGAATAGAGATCTAAAAATTTTCAGAAAGTGGAACAGGGGATATGTGAATCTCCTTATGAATTTTAGGACATTAAGCCTCTATCCTTCAAAATGACAGACTGGAATGCTTTCAAAGTTGAGCGTTTTTGGATTATCAGCCATTTGAGACTTGATTAAAATCATATTGGTACAGACCACAGTAAATACTAATTATCTGATATTCACCATACAACCGTAATTGTGTTAGTGAACCCACTACGCTCAGTATTCAAGCTGATTATTGCTCTACTGATATATTTATTCAAGTCCGACACTCTTGACATGATATGAACAACTTAGTGTTCACGTCTGCCCCGTCACAATATTTACGTAATTTGTATTTGGAAGCAAAAGGTTCATCCTAGTATGAATTTCCCAGAAAAAAAAGACAATTTAAATAACAGCAATCAATTTTATTGTTGACTCTAAGTGCACATTGAATCTTATCGGTAAATAAATCTTAACAGCTCAATAGGAGTCCTTTTGCAACTTCATTCTTCTTCTCTTTACCAACCAACTTCTCCACAAGCGCCAGGCCAAACTCAAAAGCCGTTCCTGGTCCCCTGCTTGTTATAATATTGCCGTCGATCACCACTTTATCTTCCAAGTAGGTGTACTGACCACCTTCCTCCATCTGTGCTTTCATACTTGGGTAAGACGTTACCTGAACAACAATGCATTTTAGACTGAATGACGCTGACTAGCTAAGATACAAGTACAAGGATCTTGCGGTTGCATTTGTGGCTGTAAACTCAAGACCTTTGTATTTGTAACAAATTATTGTAATGCTCTCGTAACTGGGATCTTGAATGCCGAAAAGATACCGTCGCAAAATTAGGCAACCACAGCTACACCACCGTGGATCGCAGCTTACGAAGCTTCGAGAGTGATGGCACGTGCTTGAGCAATCGAGAAGGTTCTGTCGCCATCGGGAGCGTTCGAGAAATATCGCGCGAATGTTCTGGAGGGCTGGTGGATTGGTCGATTTCACAACGTTATGGGCGCGATGACAGTGGAAGAGACAGACAATGAAGAATAGAGGCCGACGCGTCAACCTAGTCCAGCCGACATGGCTATAAATATATCGTAAATTGGTTTCAAGTGTTATAAATTTGTGTAGAGTAATAAAACTTTCGACAGTAAAAACGGTGTTTTCGTTACATACCAACTATCGAGCATTTCATGAAATGGTCGCATGTTTAACGATCTGGTCATCCACTATTGACTATATCGTTAAATCATGAATGTAAAGGAGAATTGGGTGGCCAAGCAAGAAAATAACTGATATGTTTAATATTTTTTTGAGACACGTGAAATTTGAGATTATTTTAATATTATTATTTTTATTTTATTATTATTATAACGTATTCCGGATTTTTATTAAGTATTATATGGACACCCTATTTTACGATATAATCAATTGTGGGTAACCAAATTGTTAAATGTTAATTATTCAATAATTAGTTAGCCATTTCATGAAATGGTCAACTCTAAGATATGGCCACGACATTTCCTGTTAAGTTGGCAATGGCAAACTATGTTGGTATTAATGAAATGTCAAGCAGTATGACAAATGACAATGTGTAGTTACAAGTTGCCCGCGAATCAGTCTTGTCTAGTAATTTCTTTTTCAAATAAACTTAAGTAAGTTAAAGCCTGTGTCCACTTATTTTGAATGCGCCCTGCTAACATTTCCATTTGATAATTTCCAAGTGCCCAAATGAGCTTTACCTTCTTTCCAACGGCAATTCCGTGCGCTTTGAGTGCCGTGGGTGCGGCACATATTGCTGCAATCAGTCTACCAGTCTGTTCTTGCTCCTTGAGCATTTCTCCTACTTCCTTGGAACTGGCCAGAGCCTTGGATCCACCAAGGCCTCCAGGCAGAACCAATACATCATAGGGTCCTCCACTTTTCGCGTTGGCAATTGCAACAGTTGGTTTGATGTTGATACCGCGACTGCATTCGACCACTGAGTCATCTGGCAGGCCTAGTTTAATGAATACCACATAATTATCAAATTGTCAGCTTAGTATAAACCTGCTCCCTGTAGGAAATTTGCAGGACAGTAAAAAAACTTTACAAAAGATATAATTTGCAACTGGATTATTTCGCAACATTTGATAACAGAAGCAGCAAAAGCAATAATTTAATTTTATAGTTCCAATTTTATAGGCATTTTTATGATCTGTGATAAAAGTTCAACTGTTTGGACTTTGCAATTTCACTTGTCACACATTTTAAACAGTGACAGTCTTTACTTGTTTAAGATTTATTTAGCATGATCGCTACAATTAGCTACGTTTAAACAACTACAACAATTAGATAATATACAGATATTCAGAAAATAACAAAATTTGCATCTCTAAGCATGTTTATTGTCCATGAAATATTCCTTTAATTTTCTTTTAAATAACTTTAAATTACAAGTAGACATATCATTATTTAGTTTATTAAATTCAAGTAATCCTTTCTGAAATATTTATTTGCTAGTTATATTACTATTGCAATTTTGTAAATGAAAATCTATATTTCCTCTTGTATAATAATTGTGGTAATGATTATTCAATTCTATGTAGTGTTCTGGCAAAAGATGATTTTTTATTTTGAATATAATAATAAGAACCAAATATGATATGAAATTTATATTCAACCACTGCAATTCTTGTAACATAGATTTTATTTTGGTGTACTAATTTGTATTCAATATTATTCTGATAGCTTTATTTTCCAAGACAAGATAGTTGAACAATATAGTAAATGCAGTAGAATAATTGTATTATAAACTATTTTCTTATAACAGGTACCAAGACTATGAGAAGCCCTATAAAAGTATTTTTTTTGCAATTTGTGAAATGATGTATTCATAGTGATCCTCAAACTTTAGTTTACTATCAAATATTTAATTGATTCAACACTTTCAATTATCTCTCCATTTATCCTAACTGTGATAGTATTTTCATTTAGGTATTTCCCTATTAGCATACATTTTGTTTTAGAAGTATTCAATTTTAGTTTATTTACAATATGTTTCAACAATAAACATGTTGTTCCAATTAGACAAGACGAAAAAAATATGGCCCTGTTAAAACAATATTTCCAATAGCTTTTTTTAATAATTTACTTTGTGAGAGGACTCTGGGAACTGAATTGGTGCAGTGCTGTATGATTTTTGAGCTTATCACCTTGTGATAGATTTCTATCTTCTTACAATGATTAATAATCTTCTATGAGCACTGACCTGCTACAGTGACCTGGATGCCTCCTCTGACTAAAATATCAGCTGTTATGGTAAATTCCATTTCCTCTGCCCCAGGGGCAAGAAACACACACGCTTTCTTAGCCATGGTCTTACACTCTGAAAACTGTTGACACCTGCTTTGAGAATGTGATAAATTAATTTTTACTTGAAGCAAAGCCTCTCAATCTATTATGCAATGCTTTTTAAAAACCAGGTACATCATGTTTTTGACCAACGCATCAAATGGAGAGATCATAGATCTAATAATTTTAAATAAAAGAATCTTAAAACAGCGCTCGTAATATGTATTAAACTTTCTCAAATGTGTGTTCTCGGCAGCCAAAAGCAATAAAAAATAAGCTCTGAAGGTCTTCCATATACATAAATCTAAACCGCAGTGCCACTGATAAGTAGACAAAGCATTGTAGGAGATACACAAGCAAAACAACGATCTTGATAAAGCTTATGTCAGATAATAGACTCCACAGTGCCCCCAAAAATAATATAAAAAAAATCCCGGCGTTATGATATCGAACTTGCCCTTGTTTATCAAACTATAAATAGTTTTATAGCACTATCCACATCTTGCTTTCAGTTTATCACATTCTATCAATACTTTAGAGCAAAATATGTGGGTTTTTACCTTTGATTCGTAAATATTCTTCCTCCTAGCACCGGCAAAACAGCTCGAAAACCTTTTATCAACATATGAGCATTTCTGTTGATCTTTATTTGACATTGACATGTTAGCATATGATCTATGATGGGGTAACAGCCATCGGTAGATACAGCCACAGAGCATGTAGAGTAGATACCGTAGACAAAAAACATCGAGAGGAAATATTTATTTTGTGTTCCACGCTATGCACATGGTGACATGATCAACAAAATGCCTTTTTTTCATTTTCAATATATTTTTAAGTTCAAGGTCATAAGTTATTTTTACATTAATTTTTTATTAACGTTATTTTATGTTGAATACAATTGTAGGAGAGGGATGTTTTGAAGTGGTTTACTTACATACAATTTAGAATATATTATTTATTATAATGCTTTTTCAGTCCTTTTTCTAATTTCTGCATTGATGTCGGGCCTTTTCTTTTCTTCATGTACCATAGGTTTAATTAGATGATTGCTGAAGTGGAGAATCACTGCTATCCCTCCAAGAAGTCCCACTAGTAAAACCTTCTTTGAAGGCTGATAGCTCATATTTTCAGTTATTTTCTTTTATAAAACCACTATCCCGTGACTGATGAGTCTTGAAGGAAATAAGCTAACTTTTTTATAGTACATATACGGGACTCGAATTTATACACCCTGTAGGTATAAAAGATTCAAAGTGGGCAAAATAGTTTTCAATAGTGAGCTGATCTACTTACAATATCTCAATAGAACTATGCAACTATGGTTGATGAAATGTGAATATCCAGTCGCAATCCCACAACCAGATATTTCTCTTGAATCGTTCAGCACTTGCACTTACATATAAGGCGTATTCTTTAATTCACCGGTGCAACCAATTATTGGTTGCACGTGACCTCAACCGGTGAATTAAAAAATACGCCTATAGATCTAGGATGCTGCTTGTTCAGAAACGGCTGCAAATGCGCCAGAAAATGCGAACCAAAATCAAATCCAAGCGAATAACCAAAATTTCTGTGTTATGTGCCGCGGTTATAATATGGTTCAAGATGACACACGGGTTGATGACGTCAGTTACACGAATCGCCTGAACGCGTTGGTTTTAACCGCGGTTTTGTTGCAAGTTGTTTATTTTAGAGAAGCGCGTATATAATCTCTGATTATTTTTATTATCACTTAATAATCGGTGCTTTTTCGTCTACAACTGTATATGGAAAGTTTAAATAAGAAACCTTTCATAATATTCATGGGAGAAATGTTTTTTTCAGATTTTTTTTAAATGATGAACCATGGCTTTGTAGCTATGATAACTTTCAATTCTCTAAATTTTTCCGCATGTCAAAGAAAACATTTATTGATTCAGCAGAAATGATGAAAAAAGAAATTAGCAAAACCGTATACAGGTGGATATCATCTAGTGAGTTTATATGGCCATATTTTAATATTCTTGTGGTATATGGCTACACAGAATACTTTGTTAAGCATAGGAACTACATTTAAAGTGTCCCCAACAACCGTAATGAGTATAACTAATAAGGTGCTAGACTTTATGGTAAAACTGAAGTCAGCCTGTACCATTTTCCTCAAAAATGAAGCTGATGTACAATAACAATATCCAATACCCGGCAAAATTCTAACTTGTCACATTTCAAATAATAACCAGAAATATAAAACTACTCTTGAGTTGGGTAAAAACTATATAAACTATAACTATGACATATAACAGCTGATTCGTGACGTGACGGATCTTATAACCAAACTGATAACTAGACTCGCTTGAACGGATTGGTAAATACCAACCCAAAATGGTAAATACCATTTCCATTTGGTTATCCGCTTGAATTTGATTAAAGTCTCAAACAAAAATAAACCCTATTGTTTGAGATTTTAATCAAATTCAAGCGGATAACCAAATGAAAATGGTATTTACCATTTTGGATTGGTATTTACCGATCCGTTCAAGCGAGTGTGGTTATCAGTTTGGTTATAAGATCCGTGACGTCATGAATCAGCTGTGAGGATACCAAATAAAACCCGATGGACGTCATCGATGTGGAGCTGTGCGCTGTTGCCAGAATTTGCACATTTTCTTTTAAGCAAATAAATTTAATAAAATAAATTGTTTATATATACCTACCATTTACTATAATACCATTATATTAAAAATAAATAAACTTGTTGTAAAATTAAATTCATTTCTGAATAAAAACACCTGATTTGGTAGATATTCAAAAACACAAAATATTTAAAGAACATAAATTGTTTTCTCGTATTTTAATTAATTTGATTACTTATTTATGATATGGGAACTATAACACTTTTTCAATTCACATCAAAGAGAAGAAAGAACTCGGGTGATGCGATGTTACACAATACCGGCAACTAGCGGCAAGGAGTACTCTTTATCGAGCCTGATATTAACCGCATGGTATGGTTCAGTTGTATATCAATTCCGGAGTTTGATTACATTATACAGAATATATTTCGATGTTTTAACTATTCTGAATCACTGGAATCAAAGTCATCGTTAACATGGATAATAAGGGGAAGAATTTCCTGTCTATCCATTACTTGTTCCCTTCTATACCATTTCATAATTATCTCCTCTGTATGTCTAATGGAGTTCTTCCACATATCAGGGGTAATAGTTTGGAGTGCCTCTTGCCACATTTTTAGGCAGTCATTTTCAGTGTGGCCATCTCTTCCAATATGCCGATTATAGTAATCTTTAATTAGCTCAATTGGGTTAAAAATACAGTGGTATGGAGGTAACCGTAAAACTTTATGTCCATATTGTTCTGCCAAGTTATCGACCACATACATTTTGGTTGGTTTATTCCGAAAAAAAAAAATAAATAGGAACAAAATGCATAAAGATTGGGTATTCTGCTCACTGTGCAACAATCGTTAGAAGTTCAGATTTGAATGCTTCATGTGGATACTGTATTTTTTGTTCAGTTAACCAATTCTGAATTTCATCCTTTCTCCATGAGCTATTGGGAGTTTTTACTAATAACATGCTATGGTATGATGGATTATCCATAACAATCACAGAGGGTTGGGTCAAGCTTATTAGTAATTGATTTTCAAACCAATATAAAAAGTTTTGCTGGTTCATTTCACCACGGTAATCATTAAGCTGGGTTTTCGATGAAAATATGAGCGACGCACCTTCAACAAATCCATTTTCATTGCCAGCGTGAACTATGATATACCTACAAATGCATTTCATTTTATATAGAGCTTATTTTTCTATACATTTGAAAGCCCACCTTTTTCCATCAGCTTTTGTACTTCTAACACTTCGCTTGCATACTTTACACCACTTCACAGTAACTGTTGTTCTGAAAAGAACAATTTTTAATTGGCAAGGCAACGATTCAAAGCTCAATTAGCGCAAAACTCACAAACTAAACAATAAAGAACTAATAGTACGACAAAAGGACAATGGCAAGTGGCAACCTCACATTCTCTGCACGGCACTACCAACCGAATCGAGACGGGGAAATTTAAACTTCAAGTAGAAATGTCACATTGAATGTAGTCAACTGTTGGTAACCATGATTTTTATGAATGACATCACCTATGACGTGCATCGGATTTTATTTGGTATCCACTATATGTCATAGTTATCACCGCAAAATTGTGGTATTTATCCAACTCAGGAGTAGTTTTATATTTCTGGTTATTGTTTGACATGTGACAAGTTAGAATTTTGCCGGGTATTGGATATTTTTATTGTACTTCAGCTTCATTTTTGAGAAACTTAATACAGGCTGACTTCAGTTTTAGCATATGAGAGCGTTATTAGTTATACTCATTACTGTTGTTGGGGACACTTAAAATCTAGTTCCTACGCTTAAGAATATTAAAATATGGCCATATAAACTCACTGGATGATGTCCACCTGTATACGGTTTTGTCAATAAATATTTTCATTGACATGCAGAAAAGTTTAGAGAATTGAAAGTTATCATAGCTACAATGCCATGGTTTTATCAGTAACAATTTTTCTTCTGATAAAAAACATTCCTCCCGTTAATATTATGAAAGGTTTCTTTTTTCCAACTTTCCATACCCCGTTGTAGACGAAAAAGCACCGATTATTAGGTGATAATAAAAATAATCAGAAATTATATACGCGCTTTTCTAAAATAAACAACTTCAAACAAACCGCAGTTAAAACCGACGCATTCTTGCATTCAAGCTATATTTTTATATTCGAGTAACTGACGTCATCATCCCGTGTGTCATCTTGAACTATATTATAACCGCGGTACATAATACGGAAATTTTGGTTATTCGCTTGGATTTGATTTTTGTTTACGAGGTTTTTGTGTTGTCAAAATGGAACGTCGAGTCTCAGCATCGCAAATCGATGAGCTACTTGACTTCTTAGAAAGTCATCCTAGCTTAGCCAAGGGTAGTGTTGGGCTTGGGGAAGATCAAAACAGACAATTGAAAGAAAGTGGGACGAATTAGCAATATGTATGAATGCTCATGGTACTGGAGCTACAAAGAATGGACAACGCTGGAGAAGGGTGAGTTTATCTTAGGTTTCATTATCATTTTGTCATCTCTGATTCAGAATTGTTACAATTGTGCTGCATCTTATTTTTCATCATAACATTTGACCTTTGCTTTTACTGTGACCTTTATTCTGTTGTATCCATACTTTCATTAGTTAATCCAAAAGGTAAAAAAAATAGTGCAATGTTGATTAATAGAAAAAACAAACAATTGCAAACAACTAAAAGTAATGAAATTATAGTGAAAGAATAATTACCAAAAAAGTGGTTGTTGTAAAAGTTAGCTTTAACAATGTACTAGCACAATTATCAAAATCCTTTTTACATTTAACTTGAGAAATGATGACATTTATCCATTTTGGCAGTGATTAAATTTTTATTAATTTTATAGGACTACACTTTTTTGTACCAGAGTTTTTAAAAGTTTTTGTTTTCAGATTACTTTAAGACATTGTTTTATTCTGCATAGGTCATCATTAAAAAAGCAAAAACTGGTAGCTTGAGAATGGTTTCTTTAATTCATTGTATTTGTACCTTTCCAAATAGTTTATACCTTTTAATATTTGTAAACACGGTTTACACATATTCACAGGGTAGTTTTCTGGGACTGTTGGTCATAAAAAGGCATTTTGTCCCATGTACATAATATGGTTTTATTCATACAATATATTTTTTACAGTACTGTATTGACCTTAAACATAGGGTAAAATCTAGAGCTGCTCAATATAGACAGGATGCTGCAGGTATTGGTGGAGGGCATGCTAATGTGGAGAGCTCTTCTAAAGTAGATAGGAGGATTATGGCTATATTGGGACAAGCACCAATATTTGGAGACACAGAGCATCAAGTCCCATTTGGTGTAAGTACATAACTCCTGCATAAATTTTAATGGGATTAATATTAACCAATGAAAAACCAGTGTATATTCTCCATCTATATTGATTGCTCTGTGAAACCTCATTTAATTTGAAAAAGATTTTACTTCGTGGCACTCCTCATCATATTCCTATACTTGATCATGAGATAAAAATAAGTACAGAGTTCCTCTTCAAACAAGAAAAATACAAAGTTTCATTATAACTTTCGTATTCGTTTATTTCTTTTCATCTAACATAAGGTTATTTCAAAACATCAGTAAATCAATTTTAAAATAAATTTGTTTAATTATGGGGCTAGTCAATAAATAAAAATCACTTCTGCACCTGTCGCAATCTCCTTCTCTCCTGTATAATCCATCTTAGTCTCGCACCACGACCCATGCCTGGAGGTATACTTCTCTGCATGGGCACCTGAATCAACTGATCCGAATTAGAACCTGCTTCATCATCCCAATTCTCTTCCACTGCCACTTCCGGCGCCGGATTCCTGACTCCAGATCGGCTAACCGGTGTGGTGTCCATGGGTGTTCGGGACCCAGATGGAGGATGCTGCGGTGTGGTGTTCATAGGTGTTCCAGATGGTTGATGCGGCGGTGTGGTGCCCATATGCGTTCTGGGCCATGGGTCGTCCCAATTTTCTTCTTCAGGATGTATTCTGTTGAATGGGCGTATAACCGCCACCGGCTTCCCCTCCCACACCGTCGGCAACTTAAATGTTTGTCTTGCACTCATTGTTTGATTCGTGCTGTCTGCTAACGACTGCCTCCTCTCCGAGCGCTGCACTAATTTGAACACATATTTCCAAGGTCATACCGTCTACCACTCACGACTTCAAGGTCACATTTCAAGGTCATATTCGATTCAAGGTCACATTTCAAGGCTATATTTCAAGGTTGCATTTCAGTATTAACTTTGACTATATAGTCATATAAATATTTACATTTTAAAATTAGCATGGAAATCTGAATTTATAGTTGTAATTTGTGAATTGCTTCACTTACTTTTTTTAGGATTTCATTGTTCAGCCAGTAGTGATTGTGGAAGAACAAATTGAAAATATATCAGGTAAATATTATTTTAATAACAAAAAAAACATATCTTTCACTAGTGATTTTTTTTTCAATTTGCATATGAATTCTGTTCTTGTTGGTATTGCCTACCACACAGTCATGTGAGCTAAGGTGTTATTGCCTGGGGGCAAATATCACATAATCTTTGCAACTTGGAAATAATCCAAAAATTCATTACAAAGATTATGTTTAAGAGGCCAAAGCTGTATCCAATAGAGTTATTGTTCCAAGAATAATATATTTTTATACTTATCAGCTGGCACAAATATAAGAACATTGAAGCATAATTATAACACTCAGAAAAAGGTTTTGTACAAGTCCTAAAACCAGAATAATACATATGTCTTTCTATAGCTTTCTGGGACCTAGGTATTTTACAACAAAAAGCTCACTTGGACTATTTACAAAGAAAGTAAAGCAATGAATAATGATTTTACCAAGGTCTCATGCACATCAAATTATTGATCTAAACAATTGTTGAAATACCAAAGTAAACAACAATATTTTATACAGTATTCCGGTATGTAACTTTCACCCAAATTGAGACAAAAAAAAAACGACAGCATATTGTGTTATGAATATTTTCTATTTTTCTTTACCCGCGGGTTTTCCATTTATCTCGATATAAATTTTTTTTAGTATAGTGAAATTCTGGTCGACAAATTTTTATGATTAATTGAGAGCTTTTTGATTTTCAGAACCATGTCCTTCAAAATCAGCTGTTCAGCCAGCACCAGAAATGGAACCAAAATAGAAACGCCATCTGGTTAGTACTTTTTGTTTAAAATTTTGTTGGAAAATACAAAATCTGCTTTGGTACAATACATTTTTCAATACTGACAAAGGCAACACAATTACCAGCTTAATCATTAAAACGATATAACAGCATACTATGAGTTTTATAAATAACAAACATTTTTAATTTCTCTCAAATTGGAGTTTAATTGTAATTCCTTTTGTGCATTAGTTATATAGATTTTTATTTTCTCTAGGTGCAACAAGCCCTCTTTCACGACGCCCAACAAAGAAACGACGTTTAAGCCCAAGTGAGTGCTATAACTGCGTCATTTACAGTCTTCATGTTTAAGTATACATGGTTTTAGGTCAAGCTTTGATCATTGTAATTATCTCTTGCAGTAGTTGGTTATTATTAAAATCATTCTGCCCAGTACTTTTAAAAAGATAAATCAATGAAATCAATTGAAGATGACACAAAAAAAATGTTCTTCTATCACAGTTCATGGAAGATGAACAGGTCTGATGTAAGCCAACTCACAGTAAACTGTTTGAAAAAATATAATTTCTTGCATAATCCTCTTATAGGTCAGAAGTTAGGCAGCTGTACCTATTTTGTTTTTTTCTTAGGATATCACAAGAGAATCAATAAGGACTGGGTCATTGAGTTGGAAGAAAAGAGGGTTGAAGCTGAAGGAAAACTTCTCAGTGCAGCACTGGTGATGGCAGAAGCAAGTCGCATACAGGCAGAAGCAAGTCGCATGCAGGCAGAAGCAAGTCGCATGCAGGCAGAAGTGGCACTAATGCAAATGAAAATCGCACAAGAAATGTCGCCAAACATGTCTAAACTGATAGAAATTCTGAAAAATAAAGTATTTTCATGATTATTGTTCCTTTGTACTACGTAATTTTAGACATTTTATACAAGATATTTGCACAAACCAATTTACTGTATTGTTTCAAACCATCTCTCTTAACCCTTAACCACGGACAATGAGTCTGTCGGATTCCGCGCTATACATTTACACTATTACTCCCACCACAATCTTTGTTCGCTGCTGTTGCTTCATGTACCTTCCGCATTTTCAGTGCTCTTCTACGTCTCAAACTGGTAATATCGTTAAAATTTCATTTAATCGGGTTTTTCGTGATTCGGAGTTTGTCAGACTCAGTGTCCGTGGTTACGTCATACAGCTATGGCGACTCCTACGCCTGGTACATCGAAACAGATACATATAGAATGTGACCATGCTCTGCAAGCGAACAAGAAGCGAGTGATAATGAACAGGACTCTTTATACCGCGACGACGAATATGATAATATGGACGTTTCCAGCGACAGTGACGCGAGTGATAGCGAATTTGAAACTAGTGATGCTGACCAAAAAAACTTGAAAACAAAACAAAAATATATCTACGGAAAAAAACCGTTGCAAATGGAGTACAACAGAACCTGTGCGAAAAAATTCGTACCCAAGCTCATAATATTTTACGTTTGCCATTATTGCGTTTGGATGTACAAGACAAAACTGATCCAAAATCATTTTTCAACAAGTTATTTTCTGCAGAAAACGTATACAAATAAAAAGTTGGATAATACGACAAAATTACAAACGTGAGAACAGGCCAGAACTTGCAGACCTTACTGTTAATGAACTCAATGCTTTTGTAGGATTACTACTATATACAGCTATTTTCAAATCACATGATGAAGATATCCCAAGTATTTTCGCTACAGATGGTTACAGGACGAGATGAGTTTCGAGCAGTTATGTCGATGGAACGTTTTTCGGTATTATTAGTTGCTCTACGGTTTGATGATGCAGAACCCGAGAAGAAAGGAAGAACGACGACCAGCAGCAGCAATTAGTGAGCTAGTCAACACGTTTATTGAAAATTCCAAAAAATCCTATATAATTGGATCAACAGCTTGCGGGGATGAAATGTTAGTAGGGTTTCGAGGAAATGTAAATTCAAAATGTATATACCATCGAAACCTGAAAAATATGGTATAAAAATTATGGCGTTAACGGATACAAGAACTCAGTATCTTTACAATGCATATATTTATGCCGGCAAAGACACTGATGGACGTGGATTATCACAAAGTGAAAAGAAGCTAAGTAAGCCTACCCAATCAATTGTAAGACTCGCAAGGCCCTTATATCATTCAAATAGAAATATAACGGCAGACAACCGGTTTTCGTCATTGGAACTAGCTGAATTTTTGCTTACAAATGGACTTACATTTGTAGGCACAATGAAGAAAAATAAGAGGGAAATTCCCCCGGAATTGCAACCAAGAAAAGACCGTAAAGAGTATATGGGTTCAAAAAAAATATGACCATTGTTTCCTATGCAACCAAAAAAAACAAAGCCGTTATACTTTTATCGTCAATGAATCATTTCAAATCTACTGATCCAGAAACTGGGAAACCAGAAATAATAAGTTTTTACAACAGTACACAGGGTGGAGTAGATGCTATGGAGGAAAAATGTGTAAAATATAGCTGCAGCCGACGCACTAGGAGGTGGCCCATGGCAATATTTTATAAACTATTGGACATTTGTAGTGCAAACTCCTATATATTGTACTCATCATTTCCAGGAAAGGAGGCAAACCGCTTTGATTTTGTCAAAAAGTTGATAGAAATTCATTTACGAGAAAGACTACAAAAACCGCAGATAAATAGAGAAATAAAATTTTTGATTTGCCGGATTTTGCAAATACCTAACGAGGCACAGGAAGTAAATGAAGAACGACTTCAAATTCGTAAATATTGCTACATATATCCTTCGAAATTGAGAAGGAAGACTGCATTCACTTGTATAAAATGTAAACCCCCTATTTGTTTGCAGTGTTCGAAAGAATGTTGCATACATTGTGTCAACAAACAAGAATAAACATAAAAATAGGGTGCAAAATTTGCCTTGCAGGTACTTCTACTTTTTAACTTTGGAATTCTCTTTTAGTTATTTTGATTTTGTATAAGTATTATAATTTTAGTTTTGTAGAAAAAAAAATTTTTTGATAGGTGCTGTAAGTGCAATATATTTAAATGTATGTAGTGGTTAATTTTTTTTTATTTTCAGTATTTCCATTTTTTTGTATTTTTTGTGATGCTTTCAAATTTTTTTCGTAATAAACTATTAAACAATACATTGAACTAACATTATTTAATGACACACACACAATAAAAATAGACGTCCGTAGTTAAAGGTTAAATCATTTCCTAACAATCACCCCTGACCATTTTTTGTAATCAAACCTCCAATCTGTAAATCATTTATAATTCCAAATATGATGGAAAGTTTCAACAGGTTTTTGAATACAAACAAGATTATTTTATCGTATTTAGAATTGTAATTGCTTTACAATTGACGAAAAGAAAATAGTGGAGTGTTTTTTATGATATATGAGTTTGCGGATTATGAAACACATAAAGAGATTTTTTATTTTTACGATGGTATTTAGAATCAATGCTTAACAAATTGATGGTCAACAGTTTTTTAAAAATGCAGTGCTTCCAATTACGAAAGCATTTTACGTTTTTTCCTGATCTTCACACACACCCTAGTTTTAGGCTTGTTCCAAATCCTCTATAATAGATATTGACGAACATGAACAGGTAAAAATAAACCTTCCCAAAAAACTAATTCTAAAAACTTGGACGTTTTTTTTACAGGATTGATAAAACTTTTCAAAATAGAGCTATTATTAAACATAAACATATGAAAATTGTAATGATCAGGATTGAAAATTTGGAGTATTTCATACCGTAGCTAATAAAAACAAAATAATGGAGAACACACACATTTACACTCTTCTGACACTCCACAAGCGTTGCACAATGTTAGTCCCTTGTTGGCGACCCCTCTCCAACAATGCTGGTTCTTGAGCACCAGTACCAACCATGACTTGTGCTTGTGCTTCCATTGGTAACTCTGGAAATGGTACATTATGTCTGTTGCAGATGTTATGCAACAGAGCACAAGCATTTATCATTTTGCCACCATATGGTGATCATAATGTAATATACCCTATGTACCAGGAGACAATGCCACCTTGCTTTCAATACTCCTATGCATCGCTCTATGATATTCCTGCAGTACCAGGTTCTGCATTTATAATGGGCGTTAGGATATCCAGAGTCACCTGTAAAAATATATTTTTCATTATTACTCATCTTCAAGCAGGTATATAACAACAATTGTAATTGAAAAACATACCAAGCAACTTAACTCTTTCACCATGGCTGCCAAGCTATCTCAAGTGTGTATATGCTTAAGAGTTTCTCCAAATATGGGCTTCATGTGTAGCTCCACCAAATGAGGCATCAATGCTCAGATCACTATCACATATCTGAAAGGAAATAACCATAGATAACTAACTTAGCTTAGTAAATTAGATAATTACAGAATTAGGATTTAAATACCTTCATTAAGACTGCATTAATTAAGTCTTATTAATAATAATAAAAGTTCCATTATTGGCTTTCTATGGACATACATCAAAATGTATAATTATGGCTGAGTTAGTCACAATTAAAGTCGAAAAAATATCAGTAAATGTTAGTGTTGTAGTCTGTATGATGCCTAACATACAGGGTGTCCCAGAAGTCGACGTCAAGCCGAAACGGGTGATAGGCAAAGTCATAACAGCTATCAGAATAAATATTTAAAAAATTTTATGTATGTGTTTTGAAAATTATAGGTCTTTGAAAAAGATATAGAAATTTCACACCCTACGGCAGTCCGTCAACTCCTGTTACTACAAATATTAACTTTTTTTGGATTTTATTTTTACAATGTAATGATGAATAATGCAAATTCAAACTGGTGTCTCAACCTTACTGCCAACTTTTCTCGTTCAGGAAAAATTGCCACTTATTTCCCCACCAAGTATTCCAAAGTAAAACTTTGCTCAACTTTAACTGGCTGTACTGGAAAAAAATGTACCACGAGAGTTTGGCAAGTAACCTTATAAGTTGGCGCATTTAATAAGGATTCCAAAATGGTATAACACTTAGAAGATTACTCGTTAACTTATGCACAATTTTTATTTGAAGAAAAACTGATGAAAATTTTTCAAAATTTCCTAATTAAACAGCGATTATGAAAACGCACAAGGACCCTTAAGGATAACTGTTTGCACAACAGTGGGCGTCAAAATGCTGCTGATGATGATTTACCTTTACAGCAAATGCTCAAACTGTTTTCCTTCAGCCGCAATACATGCTCGACATCTTAAAAAAGATCGGGTTATTAAAAGAGCGAATCCACGGTTATTAACAAACTCAGCTGCTTCCAATAGTCTTTGCCGTAGCTCAGCTACATTTTGAATCGGCTTGAAATACACTTTTTCTTTTACAGTTCCCCAGTAAAAAAATCTAACGGATTCAAATCTGGTGACCGGGCTGGCCACGGTATTGTACCAGACCGCCCTATCCATCTGCCTGGAAAGTTTTGATCGAGATACTCTCTCACTGAGAGTGCATAGTGCGCTGGGCAGCCATCATGCTGAAACCACATGTCCCTGTAAATACTCAGTGGCACGTCCTCCAATAAATTTTCTAAATGATTTGCAATGTTGAAAAGTTCTTGATGCAGCTGAACCCATTAGCTTCTCAAGTGATAGTCCACCATAAAATTTTGATATGCAACCTTATTTAATATGAATGTTTGCATGTCAATATAATAACTATTTGAACATTTCTGGAATGATAGTGTTTTCGATTGAAAAATCTTTCCTCATTTTTATTTGGTCATACCAGAGCTACATCAGTACAATCAATTCATCCCAGACACCCAGGAAATCCAAATTTATTTGAAAATCTGTAATAAATCAATACGTATATAATAGCAAAAGCTTCCAATTGTATGACTAAAGTGATGAAGATTGTTCTAATTCACCACTAGTGTTACTTATTTCATTTTTACATTGTTTTATAGGTTCATCCATTTTAAAGTCGATTGGTTCATCTCATATCTATACATGTATTTTGATAGAACTCAGTAAATAATAGTTTGCAATATTATGCAATTTCCTTCATGTCTAAGAAAGATAAAGAAAAGTTATGTCTTGCTTCTTGTTTTTGAAAATAATCATATCCTCAATAATAATTTATAATTACTTTTTAAGCACATCTAAAATCTTTAGAGAGGTAGCCACTTCTATTATATATTCTTAATACACTAAAATTTTCAATAAGTAAAAACTTCATCTCACCTATGACTGTTTCACAAATATGTTTTTGCAGAATAATTGTTTATCAACATTTGAATAATTACCCATTAATTATAGCACTTCTCTCTTGTGGTGTTTGAGGGAAGTAAATATGCTTTTTTAAAATGTCTGGATGATTGAATGTATCCACCACTTCCATTAGTGCTTTCAATACACTGGGTTGACTGAGCCCATGTAGGTAATCCATGCCAATAGGTTTCTGGTACGATCCAGAGGCCAGCACTGAAAGTGCTGTTAATACCTAAAATAATGTATTTCTATACACTGTGGTAGGAAGCTAGAGATACGCTTTTGTTATCATTATAAAGTTCAACTCTTAAAAGCTTTGTTAAAGCACAGCGAGGTTTGGCATTTTACACACATGACGTACGTAAACCCACCGCACTTGGGAAGTTTACAACGTAAACGTTTTTCCATCCATACGGGCCAGTGTGAGCTCTCGTCAACCCGTACGTCCTTAGGAGGAATAGTACAGTTACGAGAGCGTTGTTTACTTTTGGATTTTCTATTCCAAATCAGATTTTTGTCCTTTTGAGTTTTGACGAATACCTATTTTGCAAAGTGTTTCTCCTAATTCAATCCTAAAATTTGCCAGCCCAAGTGTTTTTAGTATCTCCCTTCTGAGCATTAGCTCTCCTATATAGAAGCCAAGCATTTATGTGTCCAAAAGTCTGAAATACCACTTCCTTGTTGGAAATTAGGTAATAAGCCTGCCGGTCTCACCATTTTACCCACTGTTTCAATTCTCTTGGTATAGTGATGAGATAATTGTGAATACCTAATAAAACTGAAATTTTTATTTAGTGTTTTATCTCAGCGCACGGAACCGCTGATGTTTATATCAACTAAAAATATATAAATGGTCGTATAACTCTAAGAAAAAATATCTCGAGCAAAACTTGTTTCTAGCCAAATTGCTTTATAACTACCAATATAACATAACCCATCCTCATCTCGTTTTCAGTAGAGTCTACCAATCTACAGTGTCATTGGTGTCACTTATTTCTCGTGTTCAAGCAAGCAGCTTCCCGCCAAAAGATATAATAAAAACCACAATTTTATAATAATTTCGTAAAATATTGTGTGTGATTAATGGTGTAACTGTGCTTTCACGCAAAAAATTCATTATAGCGGTACGGAATTAAACATTAACTATGTGGTACGATTCAGGTAAGTGCATTTTGACGATTTGTCTATTATGGTGTTTTGTATGTTTATTGCATGCCCCTTTCTATATTTTAGCTGATAACAGTGCTGCTGGCGGCTTTCTGAACAATACCGCTAATGAAACAGATACTCCAAAGAAATCCGTATGTATTTCACCAAAATGTACACTATATAACGTCTGAAAACCGTGATTTTTTTTCAGGGCCCCAAGAAGAGCCAGAGTGTAATGCCTCTGGTAGTTCGACAAATTGAAAACTGTTATGACGAGGAGTTCAGCTTATTTGGTATCAAAGCCTCTATTGTAAGTATATGAATAGTCTCATTATAAATGTGTGATCCATGACTTATCTCAGTGTGGGCATAGCTGTAGTTTTAATAAGAAAAAGGTCAATATAACTCCCGAAACTTATCCTATAGCTGTGATGTTGGTAGGACTCTGTTTGGTCTGGCCACATCAAATCATATATTGTACAATAATCAGGAATTTAAACATATATGTGATTAGATTCGCCAGACAAGGGAGCCCTAAGAAAAAGGTCCATGTGCATAAGCTTTTTGTCTTTCCTAAAAAAGCTCTCATTTTCATAGAGTTGGGAGACTCCAATTTGAATTATGTGTAATGGCCAGACGTACTATAGTTCAGATTTGATATATTTCTAGTCTAGCCTAAACCACGGTTCCATTTGTTTAGGGTGAATGTTACAGGATCAGTTTTTACTGTGTTACCATCAGTATTTATTGTCAGTGGATTTCTATGTAACTTTATAGATCAATAAATATTGACATCCATTAATACACTATAATGTACACATTCAATAAAAATCGAAAATAGAAAATCTTTAGGTTAATTAAACAAGATCCAAGTGACAGTACAAGACACTCTAATAAAATTATATCCTGTACGAGTTCTACAACACAATATTACTTAAGATCCCCATATTTCAGTTTTAAGTTAGGTTTGTCATTAAGAATTATTGTATTCTTCAGACAATAAATCATACATATCTGTCTAAATACTATGTTTAGATATTTAGCATTTATTGTGATTCATCAGGATTTAACATAGAATCTCATAGTTATAAATGTGTAGCCTGGATGTCAGTAATTATTAATGTATAAAGCTATATATACAGTGTAAATACTATTGTGTAACATTCATTTCATGATAAAATCTAACAAATCACAGTAAATATTGTGTGTAGCATTCACCTAAAGGTGATTCAGATTCTCTTCGCAAAGAAATTATTTAATGCAGAGTTCCTGTGTATTTTAGATAATGCATAATTGATTCGTTTTTATATCCTAGCCATTAATTTTCTTTTCGTAGCTGGTGCTTGTGGGGATACTTAGGGACTATGAAGTGCAGTCAACCAAGGCAACCTATAGTATCCAAGACCATACAGGTACCATTAAAGCAGTCTGGTGGCTTGAAAATGATGCTGACACTACCCCTAACCTACCTGCGGTCAAAGAGGGATCTTATGTTCAGGTAAAACCTTATAAGATTTCTAAATGTTGTTAACATAACATAGGAGTTTGTACATAGAATGATTCAGGTTTATAAGCTCAACAACTACAACACTCACAGATGAGATAGAGGGCAATGAGAAGATAAGTTTATAATTGATACACGCAACTTGAAATTAAGATTGATTTTATTCAAATCTTGAAACTTATTTGTAGGTATTTGGTTCTTTAAGAAAGAAAGAGGAAGGTACGGATGAGAACATCATAATGGTCTTGAGGATGTTCCCAGTCGATGATGCCAATATTGTCTACAATCATTTACTGCAGGTGATTCATAGTAGGCTTGAGGCTGAACACATGTCCAAGAATAAGGTAACCCTTTCACTTTTTCCATTATTTTTTTATTACTGCCATATACTTTTGCTATTACACAACATATACTACATAATAGAAGAGAATTATTTTTCTATGACCCTTATTTATATAAATTTCTAGTGATTAGTTGGATTTGGGGTCTAAAGAAATGCAGCTTCATATTACAAAGCTGTCAACATTTCAGAATAATCTATTTCCTTCTTCAGGGCTCTACAAAAAAATAATTAAAAACCCTAACTTCACATATACATTAACTAACAATTTAAACAATAAAATCAATATAAACCATACTTATTTTAGTTCACACATTTCATAAAATGAAGTTTTAAAACACATCCCCAAATTTCATTAACAACATGGCAATTCTCAACATAAAAAAGTCGAAACAAAGATAAAATGATTTGTAATTTAGATGGTTGAATATCCACCCAATGAAATTTTTTTTAACAAACGGAAATTATAGCAAACTCGCCTTTGGTTAGAAACTGTGGTGCTCCAATAATAATCTACGAGGTCTGTAAATGAACTAATGAGACTGGCAATGTTGCGTTCGATCCGGCAACATTGGAGGCGCCTGGCTTGGAGGGAAGACAGGGGAACATGTGATTTGTCTTCAGTACAAGTTTGAACTCGCTCGAGTCATTTGGTTATCCGTGGCGACTCTTTTTTTGTGGACACTGTGCAACGGAAACTCGTTCTACAGACCTGTCATACAACAATGTCAATAAACGAGTTTTTTGCCAGTAAAAACATTCCTGTGGCTCCTCGCCTGACTTGAGTCCTTGTGACTTTTTTCTCTTCTCAAAGTTGAAAAATTACCTCAAGGGAACTCATTTTGGTGCAGTTGAAAACATACAAATGGCTATAACCAGCTAAAGACAGTATCAGAGTTCTAGCCCTGCTATGTGGAGTGGAGGAACTGTCTCCAGCGCTGTGTGGCTTCAGAAGTTATTTTGAGGGTGACAATAAAAAATTGTAGTTATATCTAAATAAGCAAATTTAAAAAAAAATACCACCACTTAATTTACAGACTATTATGCACATTTTAGATATTATCATTTATACTGCAACTTATTAATATGACACTGAAAGATTGTTATGGGGATATAGCTAGACAGAGACTGATAGATAGGAGAAATCTGAGCTATTTCTTGCTATATTTGATGTTTTGCTTTGTTGATACGTATTATGTGGCAGTTGATACTTTGTTTTTCAATGTTGTAATAGGAAACTATGTTTCTTTAGACCCTAAATCCAATTAAGTATAGTTTATCTGAAGTCACTTGAAACACTGTGAAATACCGGGTGCGTTTTATATATCTATATTTAACACGCTCTGTTGCTGCAAAAATCGCCAAATTTCGCAGCAAATATCCCCCGTATAAGATCAAAGGCAGTTTCACCGGTCCACGTGGAGTAAAGCACGCCTATGCGTGGACATAGCCAATGAGAAAGCGTGTATTTCAGAGCTCCGAAAAAGTGCAGGTGGCTACTGAAAATTGAAACAGTTTAGCCAGTGACGTGTAGCGGTGAATAAACGTGTTTTCTTTAGTCTGTCCGTGTTTTTTCATAGATTTTATTAGTTTGTGTGTTTTTGACTTTTGAATACTCAGTTTACTTGTTGATTTAATTGTTGTGTTGATTGTTCTTGTGTGTCCTAAATATGGCTCTTTGGAGACCTTGGGAAAATGCTCCAAGCCACGAGGAGATGGTTGATGAACCTGTGCAGGCAGAATTCTTTCATAAAGATTTAGAGGAACAGACCCAAAGAGTAATTATAAATATGTATGATTGTTTGAAAACGAAAATCCAGATTCCTCGCAAAATCAAATTTTAAACAGAATTTGTATCCTGACAAAAATCAGTCGGTCTACCATTTATCGGGTTATAAAAAGGGGAGATGTAGTCAACCATTCCCTCCACAGAAAGCGCATAGGGCAAAAATTAAAAAGAATAGACGTGGGTTTTCAGGAAGATATTCGTCGTATAATATACGGATTTTATAAAGAAAATTTGGTGCCCACGTTGGAAATGATACGAGATAAATTAAAAGATTATCCTGAAGATTTTTATAATTACAAATGCTTAGACTCACTGCACTGTATTGTAAAACTGTGTGGTTTTCAATACAAAAAATTAGATAAAAGAATGGTGATTATGGAGTCGTCTCGAATCGTTGAATTGCGCCAAGAATTTTTGCACAAAGTTAAAATCTATAGAGAGCAGAAAAGAAATCTGATTTACCTGGATGAAACGTGGTATGATACCCATGATGTGCAGTACGGCTGGGTTGACGACAGCAACAAGTGCATTTTAAATGCACCATGCAACCGTGGAAAACGAATCATTATTCTCCATGCTGGCAGTGAAAATGGATTTATACCTAATGCCTTGCTGTTATCTGCCAAAAATATCAAAGAATCATGTGCCGACTATCATGAGGACATGACCTCCGACTTATTTGAAAAGTGGATAGAGCAGCAGTTAATACCAAACATTTCCCCAAATTCAGTGATTACTATGGACAATGCGCCATACCATTCCCGACAGAAAAACAAAATTCCGAATACAGGCACAAAAAAACAAGACATTATTGATTTTATGAAGGATAAGGGAATGGAAATACCACAAAAATCAACCAAAGCCATATTATTGGATCATATTAAAAGACAAAAATTTGAAAAAGAGTATGTTGTTGACAATCTGCTTCAGCAAAATGACCATGAAGTATTACGTCTACCTCCCTATTACTGCATTTTTAACCCGATTGAGTTGGTCTGGGCTGCTTAAAAAAAAAAGTAAGAAAACATAATCAGACCCCTCAATTAAGTGAATCGCTATTGGCCACAATAAGAGATGCAGTATCTCATATTGCTGCCACAGACCTATGGAAGCAGTGTTCTAGGCATATTATTGAAAAAGAAAATGAATATTGTGTTTTGCCTCCTGTAAATCCCGTGGTAATTCCTCTACAAGATGACTCTAGCGACAACTCCGAAGGCGAGGATGATATATAAATACCTATAATGTAAGTCTTTATATACCTTTTTATATACCTACCTGCTATGTAAATATTTGCCGATGTCAAACGTTGGAATTCTGTATTTTTTCCATTTCTTAACTTTCAGTCAACATAAATTAAACTCCCAATATAAGTATTTTTTATCCCAAATCAAAAAATAAGAAGATAGTAAAATCCATTTATTGTGATATAAAAACATTATTATTATCGTTCTACATAAATCACCGCACGCCTATGATACGTCATGAAATTACAAAGGACGCGCCGACCAAAGGTTTTTATGCTATTTCAAGTGACTTCAGATATACCATACTAGAAATTTATTTTACATAATTTTGACTTATATTTTGTTTCCGCCAGCATCATTTGAATCTACGTTTCCTCTGCTTGTAGGAAGTGATGATAAAGACCAACAATCCGGGCGCCGCTCTGGCTAACTCCATGACTTTCTATGATGATAACATGGATGGCACTGGTGGCGGATCTAACAACATGGGCATGACCCCTATTCAACACAAAGTATTTACTCTGCTGAAACAGGACATGTCACACAACGGTTTGCACAGAGACGAGATCATGAAACATTTCCCGCCAAATCAGAGGGCAAAAGTGAAGTGAGTATTTGAATATATCACATTAAAGTTCAATTAATTTTCTCGGTTATAATATGAAACAATTTATGTTAAGAACATTTCATACCTCGAAAAAGATACCTCATTCTTGCGCAACTGTCTCGTTCATTAGTTTAGTCTCTGTTTTCCGTTTAAAAGAAATTATTTATTCTTATATATGAACATCAACTTTCAGGAAAGAGAATGCGTTATTTACGAAGAAACATGCATTATACTTCATATTTTTATTTTCAGAATTTCTAAAAAAAAAAAGAAAACCCCATAACCTGCGGCAACATTCAAAGTAGTGGCAACGCTAGCGCCTAACGACGGTAGTAGATACTTATATGGTGCAACCCAGTTCCTCAATCATATTTTGGTACAAACTTGCGCTCGTCACACAATAAAGCATATTCATCTATCTATCATATGGCTCTTATTCGCTCGGTTTTATTCAATGTTCAGGTCAAATATTTTAATCATTGGTTTGTACTGCAAGCAGATCTACGAATTTTTCAGTAGATCTGTTGATTTTAACCCTATTCTACCGAACTACCTATTTTAATGCGAAATCCATCGGTTTTGTCAAATTTTCAAACACCATAGTATTTTCAATGAAACACAAGAATAGAGCACTTTATTCCTCAATTATATGATTTGGTGCAACCAAAGAGTAGTTACATCAAGAGAAGACACTTCGTGGAGTGTATTTATAAACCGTCCGTCTGTCCCATTGACCTTGGGAGTGAACTTACGAATTTTGATTTGACTAGTCAACATTTCATGTCAGTACGCGACGTAACCAAAACATTTCGGTCGGCTCTTTGACTTTTACTGGTTTGCAAATATGGTCTAAGTTTAATGAATTGTTGATACAGACTAAGCATTCAATTTATTTGAAATTATGATTTTGATTATGCCACAATTTGGGATCATTATTTAAATAATTGAGTGAAGTTCCCGTTCAACCGTATTTGTTTAATTTTCTAATAGTATATCATGATTTACACCGTCAAAAGCTTCGGAAAAGTCGCAATAAGGAGCAATAGAAATTTATTTATCGTTTAAATTTGAGTATAGCTTTCATGGTATTTTTTTGTTTTTGAAATGCAAATTGGTTGTCTTGTCACCTAAAATTTTGTTGGTTTTTAGAGTCTCTTCATCTAATTTGGACTATTTTTTCAATTACTTTTGCTATAACAGTAATTAAACTTATGGGTCTATCATTTTACTTTTTAAACAGGATTAACTATTGATGAATTTAAAAAATTCTGCTTAAACACTCATGTTGAGAGAAATATTTATGTTTTGTGAGCGTATCAAGAGCACCAAGCGAAAGATTCGTGATAATATTTAAAGAAATTTCACAGATCTTAATACTAATTGCAATTCATAAAAATGTCTGAGATAAAGTAAAAATTTCCTATATTTATATGGTTTAGCAGTGAGGTTTGATGAATGGTAAGCTTCTACAGTACTGATTGATGATAAGACACGCATATTATTCACTTAATATTGTAATGAGGTACCATACATTTTTTCACATGCCATATAGTGTTTCCAATATCAAGCTTCACGGTGTTTTCAGAATAGGGGAAGGCTAAGCCTTTTAATGCAAATTTTTTTAGGACTTTTACATCAAATATTCAAACCTAATTATCTCCAAAACGAATGATCTGACATAAATTCCGCAAGAGACAAAATTTATGGAAAATTGAATGGTATTTTTTATTATTATTATTATTTATAAAACGCACTATTTTCTCCGAAAGGGGTAGTGGTGTAGAAGGTATTTCCTATTAGGTGTTCAGGTACCCCACTTTATGCGTCCCTGGTTTATTGCCTATGATGTGCTCACTAAATGTTTAAAATCTTAATCCGGAAACTTAACCGCTCTGCAGCTATTTTTTCCTAGAAAAATTGGCGTGTTGAAACAGCCTGTATATTCTTGGCAGTATGACATATCACTGTACTATACAAATTACTTTTTTTCTAGTGACGCCTTACAATTCCTGAACAATGAGGGACATGTTTACTCCACAGTCAACAATGATACTTTCAAAGCTACTGATTTGGTTTGATTTTTCATTATATACGTGAATGAATTTTGATATGTATGTGAACTTAGTTTTAAGGTTAATATATGAGTACAAGTTTTCCAATAAAATATTTGTTGTATCTTTTTTACGCTACCCATACACAATATCTCCGTAATTACAAAATTTAAACAAACAAAAAATTTGCTTTTCCTTTTATTGATGACATGGGGGATGTGGGATTTGGATGATTACATCAATATTTATTTTTCTACTTTTACGAATTTTCTGCAAAACTTAGTCGATTTCGATTTGAACAAATATGGTAACCATGCCTGTCAATGCTGGCTTGATTAGAACGATGTTAATATTCGAAATCACACGAAAGTGAGCAGCAGCACAATAGTCTAATGATATTAGCAAATCACGCCAAAATAATTGTAAAGGTTGGTTTTATTGGTGCAAGTTGTTCAAGGGGGCATTTAAAACATATACAAGTTATACAAGGTTATTGTAATTTAAAAATGTGACGCCTATTTTGCAGCTATGGGAACCATTTTTATGGAAAACGCATGTAACAAGGTTGTATGATCACGTTACTTACAACGTTGTTACAGGGAGGCTTTAAATGACTATAAGCAAAACAAGTATTTTCAGCAGTTCTATTTATTAAGTAACATATTTTTAATAACAAAAAAATACGTTCTAAGTTCATCAACGTGTTTCGAAACCAAAACTGAAACTTAAATAAATATTACTGGGTTGCAGTTAATTTCTCATAAAATGTTACATACTTAAGCGGAATATAATCACTCATATCTTCAAGGTTTTTTAATTTTTCATCTTTGATTGGAAGAAGGTTGTGATACATTATAGGTAATTTTTCAGATATGATATCAGTGGCAAAAGTCATTGTTTCTTTTCTTTTACGATTGCTTATGGGAAATGAATTCCAGGGCTGCATAATATTATGAGATTTTCTCATTCTCAAAGTAGCTGGAGAATCAGCGGTAAGTTGCAGCCACAATCCTTGTGTAATTTTACATTTGGAGTATTTCCATATACAATATTCCAAAGCTGTTAAATTCTCAAAGAAGGCTTGGTGCATTCAGACAACTTTAAAAGGATTTTTAACTTTGGCTTTAGCAATGACATCGATCCACTGGACTGGTTCATAAACCATAGATATTCTTTTTGTTTACGTACAACGTTGCTACGCGGAAGACTGAAATGGCGCGCTTTACAAATTCGCGTCACAGTGATTGATGCGAGTAAACAGGCGGGTCTATGTTGTCAACGGGTCCCAATAGGCACATACTACGTTGTTTTACGGAAATCTCATTTTATAGAAAAATGTTACATACAACGTTGTTCCGGTCGACCCTTCAATTAGAAACCATGGGTATTTTCGTCTAATATAGTCCCTTTCCACTTCAAGATTTGTAACAAAATATGCCTTTATAAACTAAACATGACGAAACTATTTAATTCTAAAACAATTTATTTTCTCAAAAACATTTTAGATACACTCTAGTCGTAAAAAATACATATTTGAAATCACTTAGGCCTATAACTAATAGAACAACTGAACAAATAAAAAATGTGCGAAGTTAACAAAGCAACAATTGAAAGATTACCATTGGGTAACATCACCTTTATTTTTTATTACGGCTGAAATTCTTTGGGGCATAGTGTTAACCAAGTTTTGACAAAAATTTGGTGTACAACAATCCCATATTTCTTGAAACTTTTGTCTCAGTTCGGTGATTGTACGAGCAGGATGTTGTCGTAGAACCTTTTTCATCTCGCGCCACAAAGTTTTAATAGGTGACAGATATGGACTGCTAGAAACTCATTTCAAAAGTGGTACATTATTTTCTCCCATCCATTTTATAGCCTTTTTTGAGGTATGGCACGCTGCACCATCTTGCTGAAACACAAAATCTTGGCCGGATGTCAAACATTCTTCATCACTGGTAAAAACGATTCTTCTAAAATTGCCAAATATTTGTTTGTATCCACATTTCCAACAATAAAATGAAGTTTTCCTACTCCTTTTGGTAACATACTGCCCCAGACCATAACGGATGCTGGAAATTTCACTTTTCTCTTCAGACAGTCAACATGGAATGCTTCATTTTTTTGCGAATAACTAGTGCGACTGTCACCAACACAAACTTCGAATCGGGACTCATCACTCCATTGTATTGCACACCATGGTTGAGGTGTCCATTGTCTATGCTCTTTAGCCCATCTAAGCCGATTTTTATAAACAAGTCGTGTAACTTTAGGGTTTTAACTTTCCTTTTTTTTATAAGAAAACTTACCTTGCAAGTGCTAAATCCCAGTTTGTGGGCCTCTCTATGAGTTGTGGACATCGAAATTCTCCTTCCAACAGCGTCACCACAGAGCACTTAATTGTGAATAATTGGCACGCCTGTTTTTCACGATTATTCTTCTTAATGCTCTTCGGTCGGCATTTGTGATATTACTTTTTTTCACATATCGTGGCTTAATATTAACTGAACCAGTTACGCTATATCTTCTAACAATATTTCTCACACTACTGTACCGCGATAAGTCTAACAAAGTTGCAATTTCTGAGTTTGATTTCCCAGAATTAAAAAATTTAATTATCAGTAACCGAATTTTCTCACTAATAACCTTTCCTCTACCCATTTTGAAAACCTTAACTACCCAAAACTATTTTAAACGTATTCTGACAGCTGTGATTAATAAAAACAATTGTCATGGCTTTTATTATTCACAGCCACCTATGCGTTATAGACTTATTTTGCATTGAACTGAAAATAGGTTGATATGCTGTAATTGCAACATGTGTTTTTTTGCTGCAAATTTGATTAGGGAGTGATAAAGTTGGTGTTTTCTACTATATATTATCAAAATATTCATTGTTAATATTTTAAACCTATAACACCCTGCTACATTTTATTATTTGTGTTTGATAAGAAGAAACTAAGATTTCAATAGTTGAGTCAACTGAAGTGGGAAGGGGCTCGTATATGTTATCTGCTTATTTTTAGGGAGATAGTAAATTGTCCATTTAGCTTGGGTGCTGTGTTTGAGAATGAGCAATAAATAAACATCATTAACTATAGTTTTTATTAAAATAAATCAAAAAAAAGTTGACTGCAATGCATTAACACTACCATATTATTTAGCCTGGATAAAATGAAAAACAAATTACCTTTATGACTATATTTACCTGTAACATTACTTGATTCCAAAATATATAATTATATTACAATTACAAATAAAAAATTTAAACCTCCAAGCAGCAGTACTTTTCTATTTTGAGCCTATATACAGCAAATTACAATACAAACCTCATCGACACAATAACAAGAAAAGAAAAAACATGAGTCTATAGACTGTCCATCCACCAAAAAAACCTAGCCGATCAATTCATTGTAGACTCGAAAAAGCCAGTCGTGATTTTACTTCTTTTGCAATTCTAGGTGTTGTATGTACAAATGACGATCAGCCAGCAAAACTATTTGTTTTGCTGTCCATCTTGACGATGTATTTCTGATCTCAATAATTGCTGGAATACACATCTCACACAATAAAATTTGAGTAGTAATATAAATACAGGGTGGTCAACATATAACTGACCGATTTAAACTGCGCGCAACATTTGATACACGCAGAAATGGCGCCGTAGTAGTTGTTTAAAGCACATGTGACCAATTCATCATGGAGCGCTAACGATCCCACAACGCGTCCGTATTGTTAAAACGTGTTACTTAAATAATGAGTCGATTGTTGCCGCGTATCGGAAGCTACCAAGATTTCGGTCCAAATAATGTGCCAAGTGTCTACACCATTCGTCAATGCGGAAATATGAACAAACATGAGATGACTTGCCAAGGTCGGGACGTGTTCGAATTGCTCGTACTCGGGAAAATATCGAGAGAGTTTGTGAAAGTGTAGCGGAACGCCATGAGACGTCTACCAGACATCGTTCTCAAGAACTGGGTATTCGTCACACGTCATTATGCACTATGTTAAAAAAAAGATTTGCATTTGCGGCCATACAAAATTCAGTTAACCAAAAAACTACAGCCTAGTGACCATGAAAGTCGCCGACAATATAGTCATGCAATATTGCAGCTTAATGCCCAAAATAAAATTGTATCTGAGCATTACAAAACCCTCGTGTCATCCATCAACACCACTACATTCTTGTCGATTAACCTGCAAAACATGTGGTTCCAGCGGGATGGAGCAACTTGTCACACAGCTAGGGAAACAATGAGTCTTTTGCGAACAATATTCCCAGGACGTTTAATTTCTCGATTTGGTGATGTCAACTGGCTATCAAGGTCACCGGATTTAACGGCTCCTGACTTTTTTATGGAGATTTTTGAAAAGTACAGACTAAATACTGCAGAGCAGCTGAGGAACAATATTACGGAAGCGATTGAAAATATTCCTCCTGAGGGCTCAGGCTTGCGCGGCTTCTAGAGACGGACTTTTGTCTGATATTATTTTTCATACATGATTTCGAAGTTTAAATAAAAGATTAAGATGAAAAAAAATAGGTCAGGTTACAAACCAGTCAGTTACATATCGGCCACCCTGTACAACGCGTTTTTTATGGAATTTTGTGATACACTATGAAAATTTATGAACCTAATGAAGGTGTTCAATAATATAAATGCTATAAAGTACAATGTAAATAAATCTACCTACAAAAATTGTGCTGTATCACTAAAATTGCGCAGATGAATCCCAGTTTTAAAAATCATTCTTTGTAAGAAATTCATCTTCTTCGAAAGACTTGTTTTTTGCATTCAAAATTGTAACAAAACCGATGAAGTCCAAAATTCGAGTAATTTTTATAATATGAAGTCTTTATACAATGTTTATGCGATTCAACGTAACCATCTATTTTCTTACTAAGAAAACCGGAACCAGGCAAAAAACTTATGAAACAAATGTTTCGGTATAACATTTACGTTATACTTGATATCCTCTTCATAATGTATACTTATGAATGTAAGAACATAAAAAGCAGGCAAAACAAATTTTTTTTGAGCAAGTTTATTACAAACCACTAAAATATACATAAAGTGTCCTTCAATTCCTCCACTTTAAAATATTTATTAAAATTTTCGTATAAATGTATATTTGATTTACTTAATTTTGCCCTCCCCCTCCGTTTCACTTTAAATAAAGCAACTGTCCAGTTTGCCAGTTATATGCAATACATATAAATAAAGAATAATGGCTGATAAATTGCAGTACATCTGGCAACATTTGGACCCTATGAACTAGTAAAGGTTTTTTTAGGTGAACAGGCAATCTAAGGCAGAATCTGGGTATCAACAAGTGCACTACAGAGAATCAACTATTTTGTGGATTTTCAATGGTTTTTAAAATGTTGCACCTATACCTGAATTCCACCCGTTTCAAGGCAAACAGGCATATACACGGCTTTGGGATGATATTTCTGGAAAATATCTTCCAGACTGCAAAAATTTCAATGCATAAAATTGTTAATCCACATTATATCTGTCCAAAATTTCCATCAGCTGTCAGTAACTCGAAGAAATCAGTTTGTTGTTCGGGTACTTTTAAATACCCAATACCGGGTACGGGCGTATTTGCCTTCTCATTTACAATCAACCAGGGAAAAAACGACATTAAAATCGATCAAAAAAACGTAACTATGTAACCATACTGACAATACGATTTTTTCATCTACCGTTACCTACCGTTTGTATATGGAGTTGGGTTTCTGTTACATTTGGGCTCACCAGCTAGCTCTTCTTCCACACAAGATAGGTAAGAGATGTCAAAAAACCGTTTTGCCAGTGGTATATATAGGTATACTTTGATGGGAGATGGATGTGTTTTGAAAATGGCCTAGTCATCGAAATTTTGCGATAAAAGGAAATTGGCTGCTAGATTTTCATTCTTCTCGCAAGCAAAATACGCCTGCACAACGAGATGCTCCGGGAATCCTAGGGCTTTTAGCCGCTCGATCGCATCTTTGTCTTGGGGCGTCACTTGGATCATGCCTTGGGGAAGGCCTCCAACTCCTGCAGGAACCCCTTAAATGAAGTATATTATGTCAAGTACAGTGTGTTTAGTAGGAAAGTTCACATTTCAAATTTGAATTACGCGGCAACCGTATACGCGAGGAAGTGGAGAGAGGTCTTGAACGACGCGTTCGGCGTGCGGGTCAAATAGTCACAAGGAACGTTGGACCGGAGCGCAACGTGCTTTTGCTATCGAGGCTTACTTCACGCAGCCGCCCTTCGGAAATTTTGTTCACGATACAACATTCGCCGACCAAGAGATAGCCCAGCCCAAATAAGAATACAGCAGACGCTCGATAATGTAAACTAATTTAATCCAAGTGTGGTTCACATTATCGAAATGTTTACATTAGCGAACGTGATTTATATATTTGATATATTAAAAGAAACGTTTAATACATACTATTTATAACAAAATAAACAACTATTCTAACAGCGATAAGTATTTTTTTAATTAGAATGACTTTAATGGGATCGTTCTCATCATCCTCACTGTCCATATCCTCCTCCTTATCAGCATCATTCGTCTGCTTATCTTCGTTCCATAAATTAATATCAGCAGGAGTACAAACAATGTTAGGATTCACTGTTTTCAATAAATCAACAACATCCAATGACACACTAATAACATTATCATTATTGGATCGCAAACGTTCTCTAATTACGCTTAAGGGGACATCGTCTTCTTCATCATCTTAATTATTGGTACAAAAGAGATTGTTCCAACAATTTTTAATAGTTTGCTGGTTAAGTTCATTCGAGGCCATATGTAAATCTAAAACAGCTTCTCGTAATGTTACTTTTTTTAAAGCCTCATATAAGTTTTCAGGATTCTTTGATAAGACAGACGAAAGTAGAAACTTCCTATAGTATAGTTTGGTGAGTCTTATTATATTCTGGTCCATCGGTTGAATTAACGGTGTTACGTTGGGCGGCATGTACATGACGAAAATTTACCCATCCCTGCTCCTCAGTTGTTGCTCGGGAGAATGACTTGTGCATTATCCAATAGTAACAACGCTTTTATTGGAAGCTTCTGTTGTTTTAGGAAACCTTTTACCTACAAATTGAATACATATCTTCGAATTATGAATAGTGCATTTGTGATAATTGATTGTCATACCTGAGGGACAAAGCACATGTGGAACCATTTCAGGAATATACCGCTAGTCATCCAAGCGGTTTTTGAACAGTCATAATCAACAGGGATATTAACATTTTTAAATGAGCGCGGATTTTTTGCTTTCCCAATTACCAGTGGCTTTATTTTGTGTGAACCATTAGCATTAGTGCAGGCTAGAAACGTTATTCGTTGTTTCTCCGGCTTTCTTCCCGGGGCAGATTTTTCAAATGATGCAGCATAGGTTTTCTCTGATAATATTTTCCAATAAAGGCCACTTTCATCTGCGTTGTAAATTTGTTCCATTCTTAAATCTAGCTCGGTAATTGTTTTCATCAATTTTTCTTTGAATGGTTGCACTAATTGTGGTTGTGCTGATAATTTTTCACCAGATATAGACAGCAGTCGAATTCCATATCTTGTTTTTAATCGTTGTAGCCAGCCATCACTAGCTACGAAATTTTCAGTTTCTTTCAGTTTTTCATTTAACAGTCTCGCTCTCTGTTTAAGTACTTCGCCACTAACTGGGACATGATTTTCCCGTTGTGTTAAAAACCACTTATACAGGGAATTTTCCATTTTAGGTGCCTTCGCATTTTTTAAAGTTTTTTTTTCCCGGACCTCCAAATGTATTGCACGTTCTTTGTAAAATTTCAGTTTTCATACGTTTAATTTTACAGATTGTTGCTTTCGATACTCCATATTTTTTTTGCTAACTGTGTCACTCCCGCACCTAGTGCAACTTCGTCTATGATTTTCACTTTCACACTCAACTTTAAACACTTTCTTTTATAGGATGTCGATGCCATAGTCGTAAAATATATTAACGCGTGCAAAGTATTCACTTAAGTTCAAAAATGAAATACATACGTACGTATAAACGTATCCTAAACGATCATACGACTGACCAAGTTTGTCGTATTTTATCGCAGAGGTGGATCCCCTACACTCTACATCATAAATCGGGGACTCCCCGACGCCCGACATAAACCATCGAGGCTTCAGCATTTTACCGTCGCGCTGTTTCCGTACGCCGAGAGTTGTTTACCTTATCGAGTGTACACATTGTTTACGTTATCGCGCGTTCCGTTTGATCCTATAGAACGAAGTTTGTGTTTACATTAGCGCAAGTTTTCATTATCCCGTGTTTACGTTATCGGGCGTCTGCTGTATACTGAAAAAATGACAGAGGAAGAGCTTTTACGTAAAAACACGCTTAAAGACAAATAAATTTCACATAAAATACGTACCTGTAGCCGGAGTACCACCGCCGCCGCCTCCACCACCTTGCGCCGCCTGCGCTGGCAGTGCCCCGCCTCCAACGGTAGCTCCGCCCCCTTGGCCCGGCTCGTTTATCATCCGCACGAACGACTCCTGATTCTGCGAGATCAGTTGCAGCAAAGCAGGGTTCGTCTGGCCGATTTGCTGCAGGACGGCGTTCAGCAGCTGCGGGTTCTGTTGGATGACGCGGCGCATCTGCTGGAATTGCGGCTGTTGACGCAGGAAGGCCAGCGGATCGTTTGCGTCTGATTCACGTTCGTCTACCGATGACATGTCGGCCGATTCTTGCACCTAAATGAAGAATTTATACGAGGTCTGTAAATTAAGTGATGAGACAGGAAACGTAGTGTTCGATCTGGCAACACTGGAGGCGCCGGACTTGGGGGGGGGGGGGGAGATATAGGGAACATTTGACCAATGTTGCCAATCGGCCGAATAAGTTCCGATTTGCGGAACTTTTTGGATCGTGGAGAAACTTTTTCGGAACCTAAAGCTTAGAGGAACTTATTGGAAAATAGGGTTTATTGCGGAACTTTTTGGATCGTGGAGAAACTTTTTCGGAACCTAAAGTTTAGAGGAACTTATTGGAAAATAGGGTTTATCTTAGAAATTTTAAGAATCTTAAACATTTACTGAAAGAAATACAGACAATATCAGTTCATCATCTCAGAAATATCCATGTCTCCCTTCGTCTCAGGTTAAACGACCGAGATGCATAATACTCTGATAATACTGTGTTTATTTTAAAATATAATTCATTAAAATCAACTGTGTTTTGAATTTTATTACATATTTAAATAATAAAAAAAAACATTTTCCGTTCGCAACCCAACATCTATTTTCCTATTTGTCTAATGTGGCAAAATCTTTTTTGCATATTGAAAAATCTGATCTTTTGACAACCTCGCACGGATTTTTTGAAACTCAAGTGTTGATCAGCATTCAGTACAAGTTTGAACTCGCTCGAGTCATTTGTTTGCCCGTTGCATTTTCAGAAGGGAGAGAGTCGATTGTTGATAAACGACGAAGCGGAAGGACTTCATCTTCAAGAACCGATGGAAATACAGGGTGACTTTGAAGTTGAGTCATTAATTTTCAGATAATGATTGTAGAAGGAAGATAAACCAAAATATGTGTGTAAAAATAAAAAAAAAAATAAAAAAAAATTTTTACCTTGTTTTATAAAGTATCCTCCCGAAAAGTATTTCAGTGCGACCTGTATTTGATCGTGAGGTCTTGGAGCACCGGCATGCCGTCACCTGATTCACGAGCCCGTTGTGCTACATTAACAAAGGCACGAGGGGTTGGTTGCACTCGATTGGGAAACCGATCCGCATAAACATGTGCCATTTTTTATTTCGTTTGAGCCACGCAACAGACACCACTATTCACTGACACTGACTGTATACAAATGAATAAAATAATTGTAAAAACATCGTTCCAAATTCTTTCGCTTTTTTGTTTCCGATGCGATGAACCGATACGGCGGATTATATCCGTTGTCGCCAAACACGAGCACATAATATTATTATTGAGACAGGGCGGTACTCAAACTTCCAAAGGGCTATAACTTTGTTACTTTAATTTTACCAGAAAAATGGTAAAGGAAAAAAACATTTCTTTTGATCAGATCTACTCACTGTTAAAATAAATTACTCAACTTCAAAGTCACCCTGTATTGATAGATTGATCGGGACAGAGTTAAATTTGACTCACACTACCGTTTGTCAGATTTTGACCAGGAATGAGAAAAATCTGCGCAAAAATGGTTCAAAAAAACTTTCGTAAGACCAAAAGGACCTCAGGAAGGAAAGGTGCCTTGACTTTTTGGATTCTACGGAAAATGATACCCAGTTTTTGGGACGTGATGTTACTGATGACCAGTTTTGGGTGTTTGAGTACGACCCAGAAACCAACCGCCAGAGCATGGAGTGGCACACTTCAACCTTTCCAAGGCCCAAAAAAGCAATAAAGACGGAGTCAAAGATTGAATACATTCTGATTTCGAGAAAGGATGATTTGTGAGACACAACATCAAGAACAACTGGGTGTTGCATCATGATAATGCTTCTTATCACACAGCAATGCCTATAAGTCAGTTTTTGGAAAGTAAAACATTCCTGTTGCTCCTCGAAAACATTCAAACGTACCGACCAGCTGACGGCTGTTCCAGTATCGGAATTCCAGCGCTGCTATGTGAAGTGGAAGAACCGTCTCCAGAACTGTGTGGCTTCAGAAGGGAGTTGAGGGTGAGTGTGATAACAGAAAATTGTGATTATATTTTAAAAAAAAACAGTCCCTATACTTAATTTACAGACCTCGTATGCTGCAGGCAAAGTGCAAGGCATGGCCAAACCTAGCAGCAACTGGTCAAACCGTGATGTAATTGAAAATTTCGAGAATCCTCTTAAATTTCAGACTATTATTGTGTTTCTTTCAGTATTTGTAGCTTACGAGCTTTCTTTTCAACGTGAAAAAGGAATCCTGACAGAATGAGTATCAGTGGTGAACGGCATGTGAGCGTCTAACGGCAATAGAGGCCCGGTATTCTCGTTCTTCAAAAAACAAAGCGTTTCAAGTCAAAACGTTCGGGCTCTTCAAATAAAACTATTTAACCTGCAACACATGTGGTTCTAGCAGGACGGCCCAACTTGTCGCACAGCTAGGGAAACAATGAATTTTTTGCAAACAATATTTCCAGGACGTTTAATTTCTCGATGTCAACCAGCTACCAAGGTCTCCAGATTTAACGGCTCCTGCCTTTTTTTCTGGGTATTTTTGAAAAATAGGATTTATGCCAAGAAATCAAATGCTGTAGAGCAGCTGAAGAACAATATTACGGAAGCCATTGAAAATATTCCTCCCTAGAGGCGGACATTTTTCTGATATTAATTTTTATACATAATTTCTAAGTTTCAATAAAAGATTAAAATGAAAAATGGACGTATTTTATTTATATATTAATATTCAAGACTCAAACCAGTCAGTTACATATCGGCCAAACTGAATTTTCATATTAATTGATCGAAATAAAAAAACTTACCGCTTCTTGCTCATCTACGACGGGAATACCAGTAATAAGATATTCTACAGCTCGATCTGGATTGTTAAAACTAGCTCTTAGCGCCCTTTCCACCTGATCGCGAGCATATCTGAAAGAAATTTTACAATAATAGTGATGCTTGTCATATCCAACACACTCTGAAAAAGGTTCTATCAGACAAAAATACATTCTAGATTTTAATTAAATATATTACATTTGTTATGGCGATAATGGTGTTTCCCTGCATTTTGTATGAGTCATGATAATAGATATAATATTATGGATATAAATATGTTTATGAACTGTACCGAATTATCTCCGTGGTATGTTTTACCTCCACAAAACGATTACTTTTGGCTGATTAGTTGCTATCAGAACACGGACACCGCATGTTTATCATTTTTTTGTACAGGGTGTCCCAGGCGTCAATGTCAAGCTGGAAACGGTGAATAGGTCACAGTTATCTGCACCCTGTAATGATCTTTTAGATCACATTACTATAGTAGTAGTCACCGTTCTTGGGATGTCAAAGTAATACTACCAGTATCCCTTTATATATCCCCATCTCCCTCATACATACACATGCAACCTACCCCTGTGTGTGAACGTTTGTTCAGTAAGCTCAAAGACATACGTTTTTTAGTTGTGGGTCGCCGTCTCGCAAACTTTGTCGTTACGTATGAATGGCCTACAATGCCCGGACATATGATCAATGGAGAAGGCCGACAGCTCGTGCTATATTTATTAGAGTATTTCCAGGAAGAGAATGAAAACAGCGTCCCCTGTTACCCACTTGATGTGTACTGGAGAGAGTAGCAGATGTGAAGATCCGCCCATGGTACGGAGACTCGATCTGTTTACTTATTTCAAATGGTGTTGATGACGTAACCGCCAAGGTGGTGTCTACGACTATATAAATTTCAATATTTTTCTTCGACGATGGATAGTGTCATTCTATGTAGTGACAGCAAGTCAGACAGTAAGGCCTCTTTTATTAATTCGTGAATGTACCGGGTGCGCCATCTTTTATGTCGGTATTGAAACATTGAATGACTTTGATATTTACCAACCGAGTGATTTGGTTATACGTGTTTCTGAAATTTACTACAATTTTTATCATGAATCGCTTTACATCGAAACAACGCGCCGAAATAGTCACAATGTACTTTGAAAATCGTCGTTCAGTTGTGTTAACACAACGTGCATATCGTCGAAAATATCGTGGCAAACAGGCACCGTCGGACTACACTATCCGTCCTCTGAGAGTAAACGGCGCACATTTACAAAAACTCGGTGATCGGCGAGCGAGATTTGGTTACCTTTCACGATAAAGCCTAGCTGCAGCACTAGCATTACATCTACATTGCCCATAAATGAGGTGCACGTTGGCGTATTTCTGTACGCTGTTGACAAACATGGTGGCACTACATAATCATACATTAATAAAAGGGGCGTTACTATCTGTCTTGCTGTCACTATGTAGAATGACACTGCCAGTCACTCTGTCTAAGAAAAAAATAGAAATTTGTAGTAATTTGAACTGAAACATCATCACGTGGTGGAGATTTTTCTGTTTTTTTTTATATTTTTCTGATAACTATTATGACTTAGCCTATCCCCTGTTTCCGGTTTGACCTCGACTTCTGGGACACCCTGTATATAGTGCATACATTTTCCATTGAAACAGAAATGCAATAGGTTTATTTACTATAGTTTGAGACATAGAATTGTAGATTTTTACGACATAATAACAATAAAGTGAGGAGGAAGCGCTTCCGGTATTCACGATACACTAATTATGGATTCTTCCACTTAATAGAACACTATACGGACCTGAGCATCTAGAGGAAGGCTGGCTGCATAGTGGAGCATCCCATAATAATAAAAAAAATGAGCATTTTAGGAAAGAAATGACTAAACATGAGTCCCTCGGCATGCTGACGCTGATACACGAGCGTTCTTTCTTGACATTTTATCACGCAAACTCGTTATTCTGCCATGAACGGAATCTTTCCGTAATGGTTGCTGCTTGTCATCTCGACACGAAAAAATTCGATTACAGTGACGAATTTTCCCACGAAATGTCAAACATTCCAGGAGGTATGACTGAAGATTTCCTTCCATAACAAAAGTCGAGAGGCAGGATTGACATTGGCTCTTGCGACAAGAAAGAATGGCATATTTCATGACTATAAAGAGCACTCGTGTAGAGACAGTAATTATGATGAACGTTTGGTAGCTCACCCCATATCGGTGATGTTCCGCACCATATTCTCATACTCCTCCCCCATAAGAAGGGCGGATTCCGCAGCCGCACTACTGAGCGCTTGGGCGGCACCAGGAGGCGTGGCCTGGCCGGTGGTTGCAGAATCTGTAGAGGGAGTGGTCGGTGCAGGCGTTGACGCTGGAGCCGCCGCCGGTTGAGTGGCTGCGGCAGGGGGTTGTGCTGTCGTCGTTGCGGCTGGGGTACTGTAAAAACGAAAATAGGATGTATTAAGCGCGTGTTCAGTCTTTTGTAGGGCTTGAAACTTGGGGGTTGTAAATATAACGTCGCTAGTATTAGTCAAAGACGTTCTGATCCCGGTAACAACTGGAAAATTAAATGTATAATTCGAAATAACTTTGCAATCGTTGGCGGTGCGTGCACGGCGCGATACTGCATCGTCATGGAGGTCACTGCCGACTGCGCGATGGGTAACAGACTCCAACTAGTCTGCGGTGGTGTCGTCAACAGCTCATCACCGCAGGAGAAACATTTATACATTTTAGCAATATTTGGATATTAGGATTACGTACCACTTTAGCGTTGTGCGATGCTTTTTTAAATGACGACTTGACTGCTTTTATGTCTTCATATGTATTTTTCTAAATTTTATGATCCTTAAATGTACCACCCATTTTTTATAATATATTTGAATGATATGGAACTTGTTCAGAGAAGTAGCTCCATAAATCTATTTGCCGATGACACACTTGTGTACTCAGCCTGCAAAAACCTGAATGAGGCTATCGATATTGTGAACAGTGACCTTGCAAACATTGATACATATTTAAAAAATGAACAAATTGAGGTTGAACACTCAAAAATCAAAAGCAATGGTAATATCAAGCAGAAGTAAATACAAGAATATAATAAAAGCTAATATCCAAATTAAAATTGAAAAGACAGTTCTTGATATAGTTGATACAATGATTTAAGTTGGATAAAAACCTAAACTTTAACAGCCATAGTGATTATATTATTAAGAAAATTTCAAAGAAACTTTATTTTTTTTCAAGAGTTTCTAAACAGCTATCAATGTTTGCAAGAATTACGGTTTACAATACAATAATAAAACCTCATTTTCAGTACTGTTCATCTTTATTATATTTCTTTAGCAAGAACAAAATAGGCACCTTACAAAAACTTCGAAATAGGGGAAAGCGGATAATTTTACAGTGCTCTAGGTACACAAGAATTGAATATTTGCTGGATAATCTACAGTGGTTATCGGTGAATCAACATCTTTATTTAACAGCAATGCTATTTATTTATAAAATTGTGAAGGGAACAGTACAAAGGTCTATGTGAATACAATAAGTTGCCCCGGCAAATAAAAAACGCCGACTCAGTCGGGTATTTCAAGAAAGCACTTATCAAACACATAAGATCTGACAGAATTTGTTAAATTTATTATATTTGAATATTATATATGTATGTACTTCTGAAATGCTGTAATGCTACCAGTTGTTGTTGTTGTTGTTGTTGAAACTAGGATTTTTTTTTCTAAATAAAGGACTACTACTACTACTACTACCCATTTCGCCTAACCTTTAAGGTGCGTTACTCTGTCGGTGATGGTTCTCCGAATATTTTTTCAAGTAGATTCACTCAGTACTTAAGGCGCATTGATATATAACATAAATAATAACAATGAGTAATTTAATATACCAGTTGACCGATGAGAGTTTGGACTGAATTTCAAAATAATTCTTAAAGGCATCAGCTAAATCCATTTCACAGATCTGTTTGCCATCTTCTACAACAAAGTGTGGGCGCCCAAATAGGATCTAGCCAGCAATTCCCCCCTGCCAGAAAAACGTTAAATCGCAGAGAACAGAGTGCAATTAAATCAGTTTGAGTTACTGCATAGTGTGGAAATCATAAGGAGCAAATCATAAAGCGGAAATCAAAGCATAAAACATACATCATAAAGCATAAATCATAAGGCGGACATCGTAAAGCCCAAATCCTAAAGCGAAAATAAGTTATTTTTTTTTTAATTAAAAGTGACTCAGTGCATCCTCCTGTTATATTTTCACCTGCATGAAGACAATGATATCGTACCAGTACCACTTCCAATGCAAGCAAACTGAACATTATTCAGAAAGTAAATATGATATTTAATTATAAAAGTGTCTGTACACTTGTTTTAGTTAAAATGCCAAATTTTGATGAAGCTATCAAGAGTGTGCATGATCAAAATTTGAGAAACTGGAACTATATAAAAAATTTCAGTCAGAAATGTGAAGCTTACTACTTATGAAAATTGAGGAAACTAAATGCACTGTCATTGAGTTGTAGAAAGAAAACAACAATGTCAGAGACCAAGTCGAATTACTCATTAGAGCAATTGAAGAAAAATATTACAACATTTGGTCTTATCAAAAAATGAGGTTTTATTTTTATTTTTATGAAAACAATGCACTCTAGGAAAAAAACACAAGAGTAATTATTTGTAACAAATCAAAGGTACAATTCAAAAAATTGCATTAAAAAAAACAGTGGCATACTATTTTATTTGGAAAAATAATGCCACTAATCCCCTGTACCTCCTCCACTAGTGCACGTCAATTTTAAGTAAAGACTTTTGAATGTGGAAGTCCACATACCAAATTTTGGTTCATTCAAGTTGACAGTTTTGAAGGTATTAAGAAAAATAATTATTTATTTTTAAACTTCAACACCTCATATCTTTTTATTTTATTTTATTCATTACAGCACCCTACAGTAAATACCAATTACAGGGTGAGGAAACACAGAACATAACACAGATATAAAAGACAATAATAAGTAATAGACTACAAAGTGTAAAAGATACATGCTGGTTACTTAATAGTATTTTTTATGTCTGCAATTCTGCAGTTAAATATATCAATCCTGTTACTTGCAGAATTGTAATTCCTACACATCACATGTAAAGGGGAATAGTGTAAATAATTTGTCCGTGCCGCAGGCAGATAAAACGTAACGTTTTGTCGGGATGTCAGCCTAGGTACGTTAAATGATAACTGACCCAAGAAAACTAAATCATCACTAGCATTATTGATCAATTTAAACAGAAAAATCACTGACTGACAAGTGCGCCTTGCTTCAAGACTGCTGATTACGATGGTTTTCAAGTAAGGAATCATGAGGTATACCTATGGGCGGCTAAACGCCATCCACTTTCAGTGACAAATATTTTAAGAAACGTCTTTGAACACATTCAAGCCTACTTATGAATAATATGATGCGGATTCCAAATTAGCAATGCATACTCAAGCTTCGACCTAACATATGCATAATACAGCAAGGTGGTACTCTGAGTGAAGTCACGGCAGTTTCTTACAATAAAGCCGTACATGCGTACATTGGTGTCAATGTGTTTGGCGAATGTTAGTTCGGAGTCAAATGTCACGCCTAAGTCACATAAAGTTGAAGTCCTCTGAATAGAGCTACCTGACAGGGTATAGTCAAATAACAGAGGATTTTTCTTCAAAGTGTATGACATTACGTAACATTTATTGATGTTCAATGACAGATTGTTTTTGTGAGCACCAAGCATCCAACCTGATCAGATTTTCTAAAGTTGATCACAGTCTGATTCATCAACTACATGACAAAACATCTTCAGATCATCAGCGTAAAGTAAACAATTCTCGCCAACAGCATTAACTATGTCATTCACAAATATGACGAACAATAAAGGGCCTAGGTTACTGCCTTGTGGCACTCCGGAATTGGCTACATACTTCGACGATCTGATGCCATTAAACATCACAAACTGATTTCTTCCAGTGAGGTAGGACTTAAATAGTTGTTTTAAAGGATCGGATAATCCATGAGATTTCAGCTTATGCAATAGCATCCTGTGATCAACTCTCTCGAAAGCCTTGGAGAAGTCTGTGTAGACCACATCTGTTTGTAATCCTCTGTCAATGTTTTCTGCTATGGTCTGTGTGAAGTTCATCAGATTTGATACTGTTGAGCGCCCTTTCATGAAACCATGTTGTTGAACACATATTTTTCTGCTGACATGATGATATAGTCTGTTATAACGGGTGATTTTTTAAGAGGTATAGGATTTGATTTTCAAAAAAAAACACAAAAAAATTGAAAAGCGATTAAATCTTTATTTGAGTCGATAGATCGGTCGATATAATTTAATGTTTAAAGATTATTTCATGTAAATGTTGGCCGCGGCTCCGCTTTAGACGGCCCATACGCAAGGTCCAATTTTGGCACACTCTCTCCAACATATCGGCCGGTATCTCACGAATAAGTGCTTCAATATTGGCTTCCAGTGCGTCAGTCGTTGCTGGTTTATCCCTGTAGACATTAGCCTTAACGTGGCCCCACAAGAAATAGTCCAAGGGCGTTAAACCACACGATCTAGGCGGCCAATTGACGGGCCCCAAACGTGAGATAAACTGTTCACCGAACTCGCCTCTCAATAGGGCCATTGTTTCGTGTGCGGTGTGGCATGTGGCACCGTCTTGTTGAAACCACATGTCAGCCAAGTCCAGCTCTTCCATTTTGGGCAAAAAAAAGTTTGTTATCATCGCACGGTAGCGCTTGCCATTCACAGTTACGTTCCGGCCATTGTCGTCTTTGAAGAAGTACGGCCCGATGATGCCACCGGCCCATAATCCACACCAAACAGTGATTTTTTCGGGATGCATTGGTAGCTCTTGCAATGCTTCTGGCTGGTCTTCACTCCAGATGCGGCAATTTTGCTTGTTAACGTACCCATTCAACCAGAAATGAGCTTCGTCGTTGAACACAATTTTTCGATAAAAATGTGGATCTTCCCCCAACTTTGCCAGCGCCCATTCACCAAATGGGAAAACGGTGTAGAGGTCGGTGTGGCTTCAATTCTTGCACCAGCTGTATCTTATAAGGTTTTACACCCAAGTCCTGTCGCAAAAATTTTGCACGTAGTGGAGTAACAGAGGCCCAATCGGCGGCGGCGAATCGACATTTCACGGTCATCACTAACACTGGCGGATACAGCCGCAATATTTTCTTCAGTCCTCACTCTACGTCTGCGTGTTGGTGGTTTAATGTCCAATAATGAAACTGGGTTCGAAATTTAGTCACAAGCTTCCGAATAGCTACCTCAGTAGGCCGACCAAATTGCCCATAAATTGGAAGCAGTGCTCGATGCACTCTCTTAACCGAGCATGAATTTTGATAGTAAAATTCAATAATTTGCAAGCCATGTTCATTCATAAGTCGATTCATGGTTAAATTATAGACCAAACTGAACAAGTTTGACAATGACACAAGACACGATTCACGCATCATCTGTCAAAAACAGTGTTGCCAAAAAGATACTAGCAAAAATATCACCCATTATATTAATATCGCTAGAGCTTTTGAAAAATTGCACAATATTGATATAGGTCTAAAATTTTATACAGCATTCCTACTGCCGTTTTTGTGTTTTGGACATACTTAGACAACTTCCATAATTCTGGAATTGTGCAGGTGGTAAGGCACAAGTTGAATAAAATGGTCAAAGGACACGCCCTCAAGGAAAAAATGTTACATAGAAGACCCCCCTCAAAATGCAGTCCTGTGTATGATGTTTCATTTTTGGTCACAACTTGTGAATCACTCTGTATGTCTACATCACTTTGTAATATTATTTCTATCTATTTGCTACCTAATCATATTTAAGTTCCTCATATTTTGTAGTACTTGGTTCAAATTGACACAATCAGGGTACATTTTCTCCAGACTCCAGGTTTAACACGTTCACTGCGAACGACGCTGATCCGCGTCCGACCGATGTTTAACGAAAGGCGGCGGGCGCGGATCCGCGCTTCTGGCTGATATAAACTCACAAGACTGTGGTGTTGTCAATTTGTACCGCACTCGCTTTCTATTTGGTCGCCTACATATTGAACATCTTTTTGGACTATTTTACGCGTGGGATCAAGTTTCGTTTATTTTTACATTGCGCAATGGCGGATGATGTGGAAGCAGGTTGTTCACTTCCAAAACGAGTGAAAACGTATTGTAACTGTAATAAAGGGCTTACAGAGAAAGAACTGTATGATATTCTTGCCAATTCGGGGAGTGAAATCGAAATCTAAGTGACTCAGACAATTATGTTCCCAGTCAGATGGAAGTGAGCAGTCTGATGGAAATATGTCTGAAACGAGTGATGATTTTTCCAGCCCACAGAAAATCTTTATAGGGTTTCAGACATTGTTTCGTGTTACTGCACGAAAAAAAACGAGATAGAAGAAGAAAATGTATATATGAAATAGTTTTCAATTACACAACGCACATCCAATAGGCTTACGACGCGAATCCGCGCTTCGCTTGTGCAGCGCCTAAAATCGTTTAGCCGCTACCGTGCGCGCGGCGCGAGGCAGGTCGCAGCGAACGTGTTAAACAACTGTTCTCCCTTATGAAGTTGCATTATAAAAAGACTGGCAGTACACTAACATAGATAATAAAATTGTTATTCAAATAAGAGACATGTATTATTCCTTGTTCAAACCTCAATTACTCGGCATCAGAACAAACATAAGCAATCAACCACTGCTTCTATCCATTTATTGCTGCTTCCCCTGGCATTTTTGGCTCTTTGGCCAGGAGTGCATGAATTTCAACATCACGCTGCTAGTGTCTGAATATACTTTGAGGGTTTGGCAATCTTACCTTGTATTTCCATCTCCGCTCTCTGTCTTCTCAGGTTGTTTGGGTTTTGTCACCATAACCACAATAAACTTTTTCTCGTCGATGCTGTATTCTGCCAGTGGAGTCTCATCGGTAAGTATTTTACCTGCAAGTCACAAATGAATCATACCCCTACTCATTACCGAATAAAGTGCGGTTACTAACCTGCATAGATCAGTCTTTGATTCTCGCACGGATACTCCTTCACTTTTTCCGTTTCGATCCTCCTCTTCAGCTCTTTCACCTGGACAAAACGTTGATTAGTACTTCAGTAAATGAGTAGTTTTAGCGGCAATACTCACCGTTTTTGTCGGCTCTATCTCCACGACGAAAGTCGCTGTTGCAGATTCTTCAGTGTAATTTTCATCTTGCCCTTTCTAATTCTTACTACAATAGTCTTAAAAGTTAAACAATTGGTTTCTTCGCCGATAATTACGCACCGATGTTTATTTTTGGCTAAATATTTTTCAGGAATGATTTAGCACAACTGATAGATTTGACGGCCATATTATTTTGGACAGGTATCATGGAATTGACAGATCCCGAACGAAAGCTGACATACACACCATAAAGAGATGACGCCAATTCGATGGTCTTAGGGTAGCTACAGACGAGAAATCAATCGGCGACGTAAACGTTGATATAAGATGAATGTCATTTTTTAAGTAGTAATCGTTTTGTAATCGAGTCGAAAAAATTTTAATTATGAATGTAAATTGTATCCCAACATATGAACACTTTTTAAGATAGTCACCATAAACATTCAACTGCATGCGGTACATTTTGATGGATTTTATTCGCAGACAGTGCCTATTACAATACGTTAATATTTAGATAATTAGAGATATACAACCTAATTTCTGGCTGCATGGCTTTGTCCTAAAGCAAAAAAAAATACCTATGTTAATTTTATATGATGCTTAATGTAATTTGGACTTATTAAAATGAAATGTTAATTGTGTTTGGTTAGCATAGATTTATATGTAGCAATGTTCTCCACACTCATGCAGATCAAACGTGTATACTAGGAATAAAAGAGGTATCGGTACTGAACCCAGAGGAACTCCTGATGAACCATACTGTTCCTTTAGATATTTTCACTTTTTGGGTGCGATGAGTTAGGTAGGATATGAAGAAATTAAAAGGAACTTCTGGCGTGCCATAACACTTTAGCTTACTCAAAAGAATCCCATGATTGACCGTCGTAACGAAAACCTTGTAAAAAATCGTCAAGGTCAACCAGTGGAAACAAATTACACTGATGAACACAGGATTGGTTACATGACAATTTTTGGATGTATCTTATGTATTTTGAGATCCTTAAATTAAATCCAAAAATAGATTTTTTCTATCACCCATAGATGTTCGATAACATCTACTTTATGAATTACAATACGTAACATCTCATATTGCTGCATTGCAACATTATGAGATTAATGTTTATTCGAGTGTTTATTAGTACTCTTACACACATCCTTATAGGGTGGCGCAGAGGAAACGCATGTTTTCTGACCGATGGTATTTCGCACAGAATATGGATATGACCTCGCCGCACCGCCAGCAGAGAACACATGCGATGCAGTTTCAGCCATGGCACCGTGGATGACGGAGCATCGTGTGTTTGCCGTCGAGCAATTTTTCGAAACGATGATTCTGTAGTGATCGTGCAACGTTTATTCCGTCGACAGTTCAATGTTGAACGCCACGGGCCAATTCCAGATCGAAACACAATACTCCGATGGGTTAAGCATTTCGAAGTACTGAATCCGTAATGAAGAGGAAGCCACCTGGCCCTTCCCCGTACCGTGCGGACTCCAGGCAATATCGAAACAGTGAGAAGAGCGGGTCCTTGATAGTCCCAACGGTCCACTAGGCGCCAAGCTCCAACTCTGCGTATGTCCCGTCGGTCGTTACAACGCATTCTGCATGACGATTTACAATATCATCCGTACAAGATAATGATCGTGCAAGAGCTAACGGAAAGCGATTTTGCACAGCGTAGAGAATTTTGTGCGAGAATGCGGGCCATTTTTGCTGACGATCCTGACGTCGTCATAATGATGAGTGACGAAGCACACTTGCATTAACAGGATATGTAAACAAGCAGAACTGTAGGTATTGGGCGGCCGAAAAATCCACGAGAGCTACACCAACGACCCTTGCATAGTCAAAAATTAACTGTGTGGTGCGGAATCAGTAAATTAGGTATCGTTGGTCCTTACTTTGTTGAAGAGGAAGAAAGAGCAGTAACAGTTACTTCAGCACGTTATGTTCACATGTTACAAAATTTTCTGTTACCCGAACTTCAACGGCAACAAGTAAACATGGGAGAGCTGTGGTTCCAACAAGACGGTGCCACAGCTCACACAGCGAGAGCATCAATGGAATGGATTCGACAGATGTTTCCTGAACATGTGATTTCCCGTTTCGGCGATGTCCCTTGGCCCCCACGCTCCCCAGATTTGTCCGCATGCGACTTTTTTTTGTGGGGTTACCTTAAGGATAAAGTGTACCCTCACAAGCCTCGTACGTTACAGGAACTGAAAATTGCTATTCGTCAAGAAATTGCAAGAATACCACAAGAAATGATTTTACGTGTAATGCACAACTTTCAAGAGCGGTTGGAGATGTGCGAGCGCGAAGCAGGGCGACACTTGAGTGACGTTATTTACCATCATTAGTTTAAAAGTGCACTATCATTACTTTATTTAGCTGTAACTGAAACAAAGTTATCTTGAAATAAAAAATGTTATGCTTAGGTGAAAATCGTGCGTTTCCTCTGCGCCACCCTGTATTTTCGGAGTATAAGCAGCAAATAAAATGCCTCATTGCAAGAAAACCGTGGGTGATAGAAAAATCGAATGCTATTTCCGGCGTTTTGGGTACGTTTTACGTAATAACCACCTTGTTTTATTCATGTCACAAGAAATTCTTTTAATTTTGTTCACCAGTGTTATTATTGTCACAAATACTCAACGGGCTGAAGGTTATACTATCTTCTCCAATATTCGATAAGAAACATAAGCCACTATGGTTTATTATTTATGGAAAAACGTGTGACTATTGTCTCCTTCCAGTGGATGGGATAACACCTCTCTCCAAGCAGATATTAATAATATACGTGATGTGATTAAGTATTTAAGGCAGGGAGGCAGGCATAAGCCTAGTATAGTAAGAATCTAGCAAATAGCAAAAGAAGCGACGCTCTTTGTAGAATATTTTTATTTGCTATAAACACAGTATAAAAATGGTATGCATCTTAAAATTAACAATAAAAACAAGATCTTCTTCTCAATCTATATTCAATCATGGTGTCTATTATGGTGTTTCTCCTGTTCCTTCTGATTTCTATGGTTCTTCTCCTGAGCGTGTTCATGGGAAGAATAATGTTCATCTCAGCATGATGCCCATCCTGATGATGTTGCTTTTCTTGACCCTTGTGTTGGTTATTATGGTGTTTCTCTTCACCACGATATTGATTGTGGTGTTTCTCTTGTCCGTGGTGTTGGTTATAGTGCTTGACTTCGCTATTATGCTGCGGGTGATGCTTCTCTAGACCGTGATATTGGTTATGGTGCTTTTCTTGGCCATGATGATCGTTATGGTGCTTTTCTTGGCCGTGGTGCTGTTGCCAATGATGTTTGTCGTGAGCTGAGGAAATAAATAGTGTAGTTGGATAGGATATTTAATTGAGGATGCATAGAGAAGCTTCACAGAATATCGAAAGACATTGCAATTAGGAAGATTTTCGAACTATCACAAATTACACTTTTTAGGAGTGTCACATTTACGAGGTGAAAAATTATTGTCACCGTGAGTTACATGAGAAACGTGAATGATTAGGAAGTACTGAGTCAGTCTACAATAGATTTCGATTAACAAATTCAGACTAGGAAGGAGCTAGTCAAGGATTTGTTTGTCTTGTATTTCTCATAGTCTGTAGTGAGTATCAAGTACACTTGAAACAAGTAAATTTTTTGGCAGTTCTGACATTTAATTCGTATATTTAGTGTTATTTTTTAAAAGTGCGATTGTTTGCAGACAATTATTGTAGTACATAATTTGCAAGGACCGGCACAAGCCTAATGAAGGTAGATGTTTCCATCGGTAAGCATTATTGCTATGTTGATGCAATGCTTTTACTTATATCGGCATTGGTAGAGAAATGAGTCAAAAGTATGAACTAAAACTACGCAATTTTGGCGAAAAACAATCAATGTAAAAACGTAGGCTTGTATTCCTGTAATCTAATCGAATTTGTGAACGACGAAGGATATTTGTCGATACTGATTGTCGACTCATATCGATATATCAAAAAAGTGGAGTCAAGTAGACTGACTATATATATATATATATATATATATATCAAACTACATGAACCAAACCTATCCTATTTATATTTCCGACATAAATATTGGTCTTGGTTCATCCCTAGTCTACATATCATTGTTTACTATATGCGTTGTTAAAGCAGTAGGAATCGTAAGCATTATTTTTTGATATCCAAAAAAGCAGAGCTGAAAATTGATTGTTCCTTTGTTGTACATTTATTTAGCGTTAATGTTTTATTATCAATGTTATACAGAATAGCACATAATAGTTTACGTCTTCAAGTTTACATAATTATTGCTATACAAAATTTCACTACTATTAATTCTGGTATTCCATGGATTTTTTTAATTACCCCTTGAATATTTTTAAACTGACACACATCTTGATAATATTATTTAATTTATTAAATCCGTAGAATCAGTTCTGAAATGCTGATTTGTTTGTTATATTGCTACCACAATTTTTGTAAATGAAAGTCTATACTTCCTCCAGTGGAATAACTGTGGATATATTGTTCAATTCAATACTATTTCTAAATAATTTGTTAAACGATGATTTTTTTAAATTGAAGATCAAGATGGAAACCAAGAAGGTTATGAAATTTGTTGTAATTAGCATTGTACATAGTTGTGTCAGCATAAAATTTATTTTAATATATTTATTTTTATTTAAGATGATTCGCATAGCTTTATTTTGCGATATTTATAATTTGAAAATATAGTTTCGTTTGCCGTGAACAAAACAGTCGCACATATAACAAATGAGGAAGAACGATAGTGATGTTCACATTTTTTTAAAATAAACACTTAGGCTATGCGGACGTCTATAAAAGTAATTTATCTTTTTGATATTGTTTTAAATAATATATTCATAGTGCCCTTCAAATTTTAGTTTGTTGTCTACATCTATGCCCGAATATTTAAATGATTCGATTAACTAAAATTAATCAAAATCATTTTTGTGTTTCTGATCGAAATTTCTAAGGTTTAAAAACTTCGTGTATTTGTGTTTTTACCTTGAAAACCATGTGATGATCCATGACGACGGGCTTCTGTGAACAAAATTATATATTATTTATGGCATTTTCAAAAACGAAATATGTTACCTTCTGATGGACCTCCTGTATGCAATCCACCATTTTCATCAATACATCTACATGGACATTGTGGTAGTTCTCCTGAAATATAATTTATTACATAAGAGCTTTTATAATTTCTTTCTGCAAATTGATTTCTACAACAAGCGTATAATCGGGCTCTGGAGCACTGGCTCTTGATAGGTATATGGGGAACTCAAGACTAAAACTGCACCAGCTGAAAGGGGCTTTGCGAAATTACAAGGGATTCAGTTATCGTGGGACTTCTATGAGACAACTATGGCCATCAGACTTGATACTCTCTTCAGAAGCAGAAAATTGAAAAACTTTAAGATCAACTCCAGCTATGGATGATTTAACAAAATAGTTTTGCGAAAAAAGCATTGTCGGGTAATTTGATTCGGTATTTTCGAAAGCGTATTCACATTACGCCTATTTTTATATTTTCCATATCCATAGATTGAAAATATTTGACACGCGGATGTTGTTTGAGTATATGTATTACTTTTATATGTTGTGGGTTTGGGCCTCATAATAACGCTCTAACCTGAAGTAATCTGAAACGGTGAAAACAAGATATACGCCCAAACTTACTTGTGAATAATATTCCTAAAATATACAAATATCTCCCTGTAGCGGTGTGTCCGTGTCGACATCGCCGCAGAATACCAGTTAGAGTTCTTTTTTATCGTTTCCGGGAGAAATACGACCAAGGTCCCCGATGGCACTGCAGCCTCTAGGGTTTATTGTGCCTCCCCTACCTACCAGTTCGAGTAAGTTACATATTGCGCTTGCCACAGGAGTAGCACAGTTATCATTTAATTTTCCCGTTGTTAATGATAGAACGTCTCTGACAAATACTTAAGATGTAGGATTTACAACTTTCAGCTACTACAATTTTTTTTTCAAAAATGACCAGGAACATCTGAAACGTCGAAATTTTTTTGAATTTTTTCGCGATTATGATACTACATCTATTACTTTTTTTCTATTTGAAAAATCAACACCCTTTTTACGAGGTGAAATCAAATTTTTTTATTGATAAATGAAGGTTGGTTTATGCCATTTATGTATGAAAAATAACATCAGTCAGGTGACCACCGGCTTTCTTTACAGGCAACATCCGAACATCAAAATTTTCAATTACTTTTCTCAGATTAATCGGGTCTATGGACGCAATTTCACTCCGAATATTGCGCTTTAGGTCTTCAATTGTCCGGGGACCATTCGCACACACTTTTCCTTTCAAAAATCCCCAAAGAAAATAGTCAAGAGGTGCTACATCGCACGATCTCGGGGGCCAACTGACATCTGAATTTCGTGAAATTATGCGGTCTTGGAATTTCGTGTGCAATAAGGCAATTGTTTGGCGAGATGTGCCAGCCGTTGCTCCGTCTTGATGAAACCAAAGATCGTCGCACCAATACGATTCAATTTTGGCCACAAAAAGTCTGTTAACATGCCGCGATAACTTTCCCCGTTGACGGTAATGGCCTTTTCTTCGCCATCTTCAAAGAAGATGGTCCAACGATGCCACCAGCCCATAATCCGCACCAAACAGTCACTTTTTTAGGATGGAGAGGTTGTTCATGATATTGGCGTGGATTTTCAGCCCCCCGGAATCTGCAATTTTGTTTATTTACGTACCCATTGAGGTGAAAATGAGCACTTTGGCCGAAAATCCGGCTTCTCTTTTCAGCATCCAATTAACAAAAACACGCCGGTGTTGGTGGTCTGCCGGCTTCAATTCTTGTGTTAGTTGGATTTTGTATATGACGTCAGTTACACGAATTGCTTGAACGCGTTGGTTTTAACCGCGGTTTTGTTGCAAGTTGTTTATTTTAGAAAAGCGCGTATATAATCTCTGATTATTTTTATTATCACTTAATAATCGGTGCTTTTTCATCTACAACTGTGGATGGAAAGTTTAAATAAGAAACCTTTCATAATATTCATGGGAGAAATGTTTTTTCAGATTTTTTTTAATGATGGAACCATGGCTTTGTAGCTATGATAACTTTCAATTCTCTAAATTTTTCCGCATGCCAAAGAAAACATTTATTGATTCAGCAGAAATGATGAAAAAAGAAATTAGACAAAACCGTATACAGGTGGATATCATCTAATGAGTTTATATGGCCATATTTTAATATTCTTGTGGTATATGGCTACACAGGATACTTTGTTAAGCATAGGAACTACATTTAAAGTGGCTCCAACAACCGTAATGAGTATAACTAATAAGGTGCTCCACTTTATGGTAAAACTGAAGTCAGCCTGTATCATTTTTCTCAAAATGAAGCTGAAGTACAATAACAATATCCAATAACCGGCAAAATTCTAACTTGTCACATTTCAAATAATAACCACAAATATAAAACTACTCTTGAGTTGGGTAAATACCACAATTTTGCGGTGATAACTATGACATATAACAGCTGATTCGTGACGTCACGGATCTTATAACCAAACTGATAACTACACTCGCTTGAACGGATTGGTAAATACACAGGTAAATACCAACCCAAAATGGTAAATACCATTTCCATTTGGTTATCCGCTTGAATTTGATTATGGTAACGCATAAACTTATAGGTAAAAAAATAATAGATGGCGCACCCAGTACTTCCTCGCGCAGTGGCGTACGAAGTAAAGCGCTTGGCATTATCCTCCCGCCCTGTAAGAGCTGTTTAAGAAGTGAACGTCAAATCCCATATGTGTAAATGATCTTTGCAGAGCTTCAGCAGTAGTCTCAAACAGTGTCTTGCTGCTATAACCATCTCGAAGTTATTATTTTAAAAACTGAATAAATGTAAAATGGCATAAGCTGCTCACTCCGAAATTCAAAACATTTCTTTCTATAGATTCAGATACCCTTCATATAGCTCTTGAATATGTTTGGTTGGTTCTGCCTCACTCTGTAGACCTGAGTTTAGGCTTAAACCATAAGAGAACATTGCTTACTGGGACTTGTAGATGTGGGTGTTCCAGGTT